ATATATATATATATATATATATATATATATATATATATATATATATATATATATATATATATATACATATCTGTATATATATATATATAGATATATATACATACATAGATAAATATATTGTACTAGTTGGCAGCAGCACTGCACTAGAGATTTGCTGCAGCGAATCTCTAAGAAGTATTTATTTCAAAAATGGAAGCTTTTATTATTAAAATTATTACTAATTATTATTATTATTATTATTATTATTATTATTTTTATTATTTTTATTTTTATTTTTATTATTCAATAATAATATTATTATTATTAAGTGCAATTTTAAAGAAAGACTGGAGTTTGAAGTAAAGATTTATGAGCAGCAGCAACTGCAGCTGCTGCTGCTGCTGCGGCGGCGGCAGCTGCTGCTGCAGTTGCTGCTGCTGCTGCTGCAGTCAGGGAAGCGGGTGGGGGAAAGTTGGTTTTGAAGAAAAGAAACTTTTTTATAAAATGAAAGAAATAACAAAAGGGTTTTTGTTGAACAGCAAGTTTGAGCTGTCTGTACACCCCGCGAAGGCTCTCGCCCAGAGAAGCCACGGGCTTCTTTTCACTTTTCTTTTTTTTGTTTTGTTGCTAACTAAAAAACATCTTTCATGAATTCAAACAATTCACTGTGCTGCTGCTGCTGCAGCAGCAGCAGCTGCTGCTGCTACTGCTGCTGCTGTAGCAGCAGCTGCTGCTGCTGCCGCAGGAGCTGCTGCTGCAGCTGCTACTGCTACTGCTGTAGCAGCAGCTGCTGCTGCTGCTACTCCAGCAGCAGCTGCTGCTGCAGCTGCTGCTGCAGCTGCTGCTGCAGCTGCTGCTGCTGCGGCAGCTGCTGCTGCAGTTGCTGCTGCTGCTGCTGCAGTCAGGGAAGCGGGTGGGCGAGGCTCGTGGGCTCCTCTGGAGGGGCGCAGAGGATTGAAATGAGCTGCAGCAAAATCAGCAAAAGGCAAATTCGTGTTTATTCTTAAATGCATTTTTGAAATTAAAAATATATATTTATACAAATAACATATATATATATATATATACATACATAAATGCATGCACATCTGCAAACATGGGCATTGTGAGTATATATATATATATATATATATATATATATATTATATATATATATGCATATTTATATATATACATATAAACATATGTATATACATGTAATATATACATATATCCCCATATATATTTACAACATAAAGATATAATGAAGATATAAATATATATTATTTATATATTATACATAAATATATATTATTTATATATTACAATATAGATAGTGTACATACACTTGCAAACGACCGCAGCAGCAAAAAGACCCAAAGGCAGCAAAAGCAGCAGCAGCACGAAGAGAGTTCTCCGGATACAAATCAAAATAAAACATAATTAAATCAAATTAAATTAAATTAAATTAAATTAAATTAAATTAAATTAAATTAAAAGTAATTAAAGACAAAGGCTCACTTCGTGCCAGTAATGCAGAGGAATCTGACAGGCAAATTCCAGGCCGCGGGCGTCCTTTCTCCTGAGGTGTACGTACACCCGAGCACAGTGCGCAAGTCACTAAAACTGGAAGCTCTGAGTGCGAAATTGGCGTCAAAAAAGCATTTAAATTGATTTAAAATGCATTATTAAAGAATTAAAAGCCTTTATGAATCATTTGAAGAGCAAATTTGGACCAAAGAGCGGGAAAAAGTGCGAAGAACTTGGGGTGTATGTACAGCTCGCGCACCTTCGGATGTAGTGAACCCTCCAGAAGTGCAGCAGCCGCCAGAAGTTAAAAAGTCCCACGCCCATGTCTTTTCGCATTCTTTTTTCTTTTTCTGTTTCTTTCAAATAAAAAGGCGCAGAACCCGAAAGATCCAGTCCCGAAGCTGCTGCTTCTGCATGCAGCAAACGCTCCAGCAGCGGCCCCACACCAGCCACAGGCCGTCCTGCTGCCAGCTCCTCCTGAGCAGCAGCAGCAGCAGCAGCAGCAGCAGCAGCAGCAGTGAAAGCAACAGTCATTATGGCTGCAGCAATCGACACAGTTGGGGTCCTAATGATAAAAGAATTAGCCATAAGTATATTTATAATTACAAAGATCTTCATAACTGCCAAAGGCAAGGGACACATACACCCGCTGCTGCTAAAGTCCGGGACTAAGCAGCAGCAGCAACAGCAGCAGCAGCAGAAGCAGCAACAATAGCAGCAGCACAAGCAGCAGCAGCAACAACAACAGAAGTAGCAGCAGCAGCAACAACAACAGAAGTAGCAGCAGCAGCAACAACAGCAGAAGCAGCAGCAGCAGCAACAACAGCAGAAGCAACAGGAGCAAGAGCAGCAGCAGCAGCAGCAGCAGCAGCAAGAGAAGCAGCAGCAGCAGCAGCAGCAGCAGCAGCACCTCTGCCTCCCTGAACTGTTTCTTGATGTCTTGAAGGGTCTCCGGCAGCTGGCCGTCCAGCAGCGACAGCAGCAGCAGCACGAGCGAAGTGTTGACGCAGCAAATGCTGTCGGGCACTACGCCTTCAAAAGACACCACTGCAGCAGCAGCAGCAGCAGCAGCAGCAGCAGCAGCAGCAGCAGGCGCGAGGCGCAGATGAAAGATACAAATTAACGAAAATGAAGAAGCAGCAGCAAATGAAGGCAACAGCAACTCGGGTGTATGTACAGCAGGCTCAAATTTTGGGGTTTTGTTTGGAGCTGCTCCCCGCTAGGGTTTCCTAGGGTTTAGGGTTTAGGGTTTAGGGTTTAGGGTTTAGGTAGGGTTTGCAGGGATGCACTGCGGTTTAGCAGTGCATAGTAGGGTTCATAGGGTTTAGGGTTTGTTGGGATTCGCTAATTTAGGGTTTACAGAAAGGCTTATTACAGCTATTCGATTCTGCTCGAACTAATTAGGGTTTACAAAAGGGTTTACGAGGGTTTAGTGGAGATAAATGAGACAAATTAGGGTTTACAAAAGGGTTTACGAGGGTTTACTTGGGGCATATTGGGCTAATTAGGGTCTACAAAAGGCCTTACGAGGGCCTAGGGTTTAGGGTTTAGAGTCTGGGGTTTAAAAGCTAAGGGTTAAGGGTTTAGGGTTTAGGTTTTAGAGTTCAGCGGCTAATGATTGAGGGTTTAGGGTTTAGCGGGGTTTAGGGTTTAGGGCCTAGGGTTTAGCGGCTACGGGCTAGAGTAGGGTTTAGGGTTTAGGGTTTAGCGGCGAAGGGCTAGGCTTTGGAGCCGCTGCCCTAGGGTTTAGCGGCCACTCAGGGCGTAGGGTTTAGGGTTTAGGGTTTAGGGTTTAGGGTTTAGGGTTTAGGGTTTGGCGCTTACCGCACATGAGCCTCTTGAGGATTTCGTTTTTGCGTTCTTGGAGGAAGTTGGCCAAAGGACTTTTGTCTTTGTCGAAAAGAAGAAAAACATCACTTCTGTACTTCCCGCTGAAGACTGCATGCAGTTCTTTGCTGCTGCTGACCACAGCAGCAACCATGGCCGGCGAGGGGTCTGGCCGCAGCCCCAGCCCCAGCGGCGCCAGCTCCCAGTACGTCTGCTGCTGCTGCTGCTGCTGCTGCTGCTGCTGCTGCTGCTGCTGCTGCGGGGGCGCGCGGCTGCGCATTCGCCGCGGGGAGCGGTCCGCTGCAGCGTGGGCGCCGACGCCGCTGCTGCTGCTGCTGCTGCTGCTGCTGCTGCTGTTGCTGCTGCTGCTGCTGCTGCTGCTGTTGCTGCTGCTGCTGCTGCTGCTGTTGCTGCTGCTGCTGCGGGCCAGCAGGCGGCGCAGCGAGGCCCCGTCTACGAAGGGCACAGTCAGCCCCGTGGGCGCAGCAAATCCGCCCGTGGCGCAGCAGGAGTCGGACTTGTGCGGCAGCCCCTGCGAAAGGCAAGACCACTGCTGCTGCTGCTGCTGCTGCTGCTGCTGCTGCTGCTGCTGCTGCTGGGGGTCTTCGCCTTGGAGCCCGCGGAGGGTGACTGGGCTGCAGGAGTTTCGGTCGAAGAAGTGCATTTGGCGCCACAGCGGGAGAAAGCGGCTTTCCCGGAGTTCTGCTGCGCCTGCTGCTGCAGCAGCGTCTGCTGCTGCTGCTGCTGCTGCTGCTGCTGCGGCGGCCGCCGCGGCCGTCGCCGCCGGCCCCTGCTGCTGCTGCTGCTGCTGCTGCTGCTGCGCTGCAGCAGGGAGCGCTGCTGCTAGCGCATGCACGCGGGCTGTTTGTCTGCAAAGCTCCAAAGTCAAATAAAGACTCCGAACAAGAACGTTTGTGTCAATTAAGTTGTCTTCAATGATAGCAGCAAAAGCTGCCAAAGCAGCAGGATGTCTTGCGAAGTGGCGGTCCAGCAGCAGCAAAACGTAAGGATTGAACTTGAGCAGTTCGCCCAGCAAGTCGCAGCAGGACTGCAGCATGCCGCGGTGCGCCGCGGCCTCCCCCCTGCTGCTGCTGCTGCTGCTGCTGCTGCTGCTGCTTCTGGCGGCCGCGAGCCGCGCCGCAGCCCCCTGCTGCTGCTGCTGCTGCTGCTGCTGCTGCTGCTGCTGCTTCTGGTCGAGCGCCAGCGCGTGCATGTCCCGGAGGATGATGTGCAGCAGCCCGCTCTCAGCAGCAAAGACCTTGATCAAAGGATCCGCTCCCCGAATGCAAGCTTCCAAAGAAGAAGCCAGCCAGAACTTATAAACAGAAGCAGCAGATTCATTTCCATAAATGCAAATGAGTCTCGACAGCAGCCCCGCAGTGCCTTTGAAGATATACCGCGTGGCAATCCGCCCGAACTGCTCGTTCGACCGGTGCGTCCCCGGCTCGCTGCTGCTGCTGCTGCTGCTGCTGCTGCTGCTGCTGCTGCTGCTGCTGCTGCTGCTGCTGGGGCTGGTGGCGGCACTCCGCGCGCGCTGCTGCTGCTCGTCGTCGGTGGCGGCGTCTTGCGCGCGGCCGGCGCCCGCCGCGTCCCGCGGCAGCGCCGCGCCGCGCAGCGCCCCCTGCTGCTGCTGCTGCTGCTGCTGCTGCTGCTGCTGCTGCTGCTGCTGCTGCTGCTGCTGCTGCTGCTGCTGCTTGTCGGGGTCCACGAGCGGGTGAGAGTGAATGACCCGCAGCCGCTGCCGCACCGCCCGCACCAGCGGAGGCCGCAAGTCCACGCGGCGGGGCTGCCGCAGCGCATGCATGAGTTTGTTGCGCTCGTGGGCTGTCAGCATTTCTCTTTTGACTTTTGCTGCTGCTGCTCCTTGTTCGAAATCGGCTAAGTCGTGGACGAGCCGCAGCAGCTCGAGCGCGAAGGCGCAAAGGGAAGTCTCGCAGCAGCAGAAGGCCTCCAGAGACTGCAGCGGCGGAGGCACTGCTGCCAGCGACAGGTCCAGCCCCCTCCGCGCCGCGTAGATGCTGCTGCTGCTGCTGCTGCTGCTGCTGCTGCTGCTGCTGCTGGGGGGGGGCGCGGGGAGAGCGCTGCTGCGCGGGGCGGCTGCGGCCAGCAAGCTCGACGAGTGGCGACGGCGACGCGCCGGCGGAGGGCCGTCTTCCCGCGACGCTGCAGCGCCTGCTGCTGCTGCTGCTGCTGCTGCTGCTGCTGCTGCTGCTGCTGCGGAGGGGGGCGGGGCCTCGTCCGCGCCCCCGCTGCCGTCGCTGCTGGAGGCCTCCCCCGCAGCAGCGGCCTCGCCCGCGGCCGCGCGCCGCCGCCGCCGCTGCTGCTGCTCCCGCTGCTGCTCCCGCTGCTGCTGCTGCTGCTGCTGCTGCTGCTGCTGCTGCTGCTGCTCGGGACGCAGCCAGAGATGCGCCAAAGGGTCCGGCCTAAACCACAGCTGCGTCTCCAGCAAACTCGCCAGCAGCTGCACGAGGCCCAGCCGACTCAGCCGCTGCTGCACTGCTGCTCTCGAGCTGCCAGCCAGCAGCGAACAAATTACAAAGTACAGTTCTGGCTGCAAACACAAACCCTCACAAACCCTCACAAACCCTCACAAACCCTCACAAACCCTCGCAAACCCTCGCAAACCCTCATAAACCCTCACAAACCCTCACAAACCCTTGCAAACCCTCACAAACCCTCACAAACCCTCACAAACCCTCGCAAGCCCTCGCAAGCCCTCGGAAACCCTCGGAAACCCTCGGAAACCCTCGGAAACCCTCGGAAACCCTCGGAAACCCTCACAAACCCTCGCAAACCCTCACAAACCCTCACAAACCCTTGCAAACCCTCGCAAACCCTCGCAAACCCTCGCAAACCCTCACAAACCCTCGCAAACCCTCACAAACCCTCACAAACCCTCACAAACCCTTGCAAACCCTCGCAAACCCTCGCAAACCCTCGCAAACCCTCATAAACCCTCACAAACCCTCACAAACCCTCGCAAACCCTCACAAACCCTCACAAACCCTCGCAAACCCTCGGAAACCCTCGCAAACCCTCGCAAACCCTCGCAAACCCTCGCAAACCCTCGCAAACCCCCGCAAACCCTCGCAAACCCTAACAGCCACAAACCACAGACCCTCTGCACTCAAAAGCACCAAAAACCCGGCGAAGCAGCAGCAGCACCCGCTGCTGCGGCGTCGCGCTGCTGCTGCTGCTGCTGCTGCTAGTGCTGTTGCTGCTGCTCCTGCTGCCACTGCAGCAGCAGCAGCAGCAGCAGCTGCTGCTGCTGCTGCTGGTTCTCACCGTGTGCTGCAGGATGGAGCCAATGCGGAGGACATAGTGCTGCTCCGGAGGAGTTATTTGCTGCAGCACTGTTGTCAAAATGAGTTCGAGAGTGCCGTTGCTGCTGCGAGCAGCAACGCCCCGCAGGGTCTGCAGTGCTGCTGTCAGCACCTCGTGCACAGAGCCCCCCGCCAGCTGCTGCTGCTGCTGCTGCTGCTGCTGCTGCTGCTGCTCGCCGTCGCGGGCCGCGCGGCGGGCGCGCTGCTGCTGCTGCTGCTGCTCCTGCTCCTGCTGCTGCCGGCCTGTCCGCACGCCGCCCACGCGGCGACGCCTTCCTCCTGCTGCAGGTGCTGCTGCTGCTGCTGCTGCTGCTGCTGCTGCGCCGTTTGAAGAGGCATCCGCACCTTCTGCTGCTGCTGCCGACCTTGCTGGAACTGCATCTGGGGCTGCTGCTGCTGCTGGAGTTGCTGCTGCTGCTGCTGGGGCTGCTGCTGCTGTCGTGTCCGCAAAAAAGTTTGAGGGATCCAAGAGAGAAGAAGCCCACTGCTGCCAAGACATGGCAGATGTTGCTGCTGATTCACTCTGCCCACTTTCTGCTGCAGCAGCAGCAGCTGTTGCTGCCGGTGCTGCTGTAGACGTTGCTGCCGCTTCGGTGGGCTCTTCTGCAGCCTCACCGTTTACAGCAGCAGCTGAACGCTCTTGCTGCTGCTGCTGCTGCTGCTGCTGCTGCTGCTGCTGCTGCGCCAATGCCCTGGGGGACAGAACAAAGGACTGCTGCGACCTGAAAGAGTACAGCTGCAGCACTTGCTGCGCCTGCTCGTGCAGCGGCAGCTCGGGGTCAAACACGATTGAAGGCTCTGCTGCTGCTGCTGCTGCTGCTGCTGCTGCTGCTGGATCTGATGCGGCTGTTGGTGCTGCTGCTTCCGCTGCTGCTGCAGCTTCGCCTGCTGACGAGGTCGGCGCTCCAGCAGCCGCACTTGGAGGACCAGATTCTGACTCCCGCTGCTGCTGCTGCTGCTGCTGCTGCTGCTGCTGCTGCTGCGGGTTACCATCGCTCGACCCCATCTGGCTCCTCCTACCCGCGCCCCCGAACGCGAGCGAAAATCTGCTTCCCACGCTGCTGCTGCTGCTGCTGCTGCTGCTGCTGCTGCTGGCGGCGGTCGGGCTTGGATCTGCAGCAGCCTGCATGCGGCGCTGCTGCAGGAAGCTCCGTGCTGCTGCTGCTGGCCGGAAAGCTGCAGCAACTCCTGGGGGCAGCCTGGGGAGTCTTGGGTTTTTGGCAGCAAGTTCCTTGAGCTGCAGCTGCTGCAGCTGCTGCAGCTCAGCAGACTCGTCTTCTGTTGCAGAAGACATCACGCTGCTGTTGCTGCTGCTGCTGCGGCGCTCGTCAGCACTTAGTGCTGCAACAAGTGGCTGCGGCGGAAACCCCTCAGTGTCCTGCAGCAGCAGCCGCCGCTGCTGCCGCTGCTGCAGCCTGCGGCGTTTGTGTCTGTCGCGCCTGGAGAGGCCCCCTTGCTGCTGCTGCTGCTGCTGCTGCTGCTGCTTGCGGGCAGCAGCAGGCAGCGGCCACGGAAAGCCCTGACGCAGCAAAGCCTCGCTGCCGCTTCCTGCTTCCTCGCTGCTGCTGCACAAGCCGCCGCTGCTCTGGTTGCTGCTGCTGCCCGTGAGGCTGTCTTTGTCGCTGTTGCTGTTGCTGCTGTTGCTGCTGCTGCTGCTGCTCACGCTCGGCCGTCTGCGCCGCCGCCGCAGCCAGTGCTGCCTCCCCCCCTCGCTGCTCTTCCGCTCTGTTCCTGCTGCTGCTGCTGCTGCTGCTGCTGCTGCTGCTGCGCTGCTCCCGCGATCTCCTGCCGCTGCTGCTGTAGAGGAGCGGCGGCCCCGCAAGCTTGAAGTGCTGCGTGCTGCTTCGCCCTCTGCAGCAGCAGCAGAGCCAGCAGCAGGAGCAGCAGCAGCAGCATCTTGGCTGCGGGTGACTCCGAACGACAAAGTCGATAGCCTACGCAGCAGCCGGCCCATGAAACTTGGTTCCTGCTGCTGCTGCTGTTGCTGCTGCTGTTGCTGCTGCTGCTGGGACTGTTGACCTGACGTTTGCCGCTGCTCCTGCTTCTGCAACGGCCCCTGATCCTCGCGCGGCGCAGCAGCAGCAGCACCGGTCCTGCTGCTGCTGCTGCTGCTGCTGCTGCTGCTGCGTTGCCGCTGGCTGCTTTTCCTCTTTCTGCGGTTTCTGCGTTTTAGTGCTGCTCTGTGCTGTCTGTACAGCTGGTAAGTTCTGTGGAAAAGCTGCCGCAGCTGCAGCTCGTCCTGTATCCCGAGGCCTTGCTGCTGCTGCAGCAGCTGCTGCTGCAGCACCTGCGGCTGCAGCAGCTGTGGCTGCTGCTGCTCCGCGCCAGCAGCAAAACCGCCAAACGCAGTCACGGTTGCAGCGTCATCGCCGTCGTCAGCTCGCTGCAGCAGCACGTGCACCAGCGCTCGAAGCTGCTGCTGCGGCTGCTGCTGCTGCTGCTGCTGCTGCTGCTGCCGCTGCTGCTGCGGACCGCCAACTAAAGCAGAAAGAGCCCACACTGCCCTGGAGCCAGCTGTAGGCTCCTCAGCAACACCGCGGATTGTGTCGGAAGCAACTTCAACAGCTTCTGCTGCTGCTGCTGCTGCTGCTGCTGCATCGTCCGCTGTTCTTCCGCGACGCCGCGGCGACGGCGGCGCTCCATTGTTTGAAGACGCTGCTGCTGCTGCTGCTGCTGCTGCTGCTGCTGAAACTCCTGCTGACGCTGCTGCAGCAGAGTCTGAAGCGCCGGCGCTCGAGGCGCCAGCAGCGTCGGCGGCTCCCTGCTGGCTCTGCTGCCGGCGCTGCCGCTGCTGCTGCTGCGGCTCCTGCTGCTGCTGCTGCTGCTCCTGCTGCTGCAGCGAAAGCGGCGCAAGGAACTCTATGCCAATGCTAGCTGCATTTGTGGCAGAGACAGCAGCAACAAGAGAAGCAATGTCCTCAGGGGTGGCAAGAAGAGTGCCTGTTGTCAGTTCCACAGAAATCCCGTGTGTTGCAGCTTCTGCTGCTGTTGCTGCTGCTGCCGCTGCTGCTGCTGCTTCTCCTGCTGTCCCAGCCACCCAAGTAGAGGCCTCTGCAGCAGACTCACCTGCTGCTTCCTCCTGCGCCTCCTCTTCAGCTGCTGCTGCTGCTGCTGCTGCATCTGCATCAGCGCTGGCAGCGCTGGTCCCGGAGTCTCTCCTGCTGCTGCTCCCACTGGCCGCAGCCGGTGCAGCAGCAGCAGCTGCTGCTGCTGCAGGCTGCTGCTGCGCGTCACCCCCAAATACAGAATGCAGCGAAGACAGCCGGCGAAAGAAAGACCCCCAGTCTGATGCCCTCTCGCTAGCTGCCGGTGCTGCTGCTGCAGCAGCACTTGTTGCTGCAGCACTGCTGCCAGCAGCATCTGCTGCGCGCTCCCTGTTTGCAGGTTCTCCAGCAGCAGCAGCAGGCGCTGCAGCAGCAGCAGCAGCAGCTTCCCTGCTCGGCCTGACGCTGTAGGGCAGCCGCGAACGAGCAACAAATGCCATGGGGCCCCTGCCCATTGCTGCTGCTGCTGCTGCCGTGCTGCTGCTCCTATCGCTGCGCCTGCCAGCAGCAAAAGGCGCAGCAGCTGCGTTTCTGCTGCCCCTCACGTGGCGGCTGCTGCTGCTGCTGCTGCTGCGGCTGCTCCTGCTGCTGCGGGTGCGGCTGCTGCGGGTGCGGCTGCTGGGCCCCGAGGCCTCGCCCATGACCAAGTCAAAGAGAGGAGTGTTGCTGCGCTGCAGCAGCTCGAGCAAAGTCTCGCCGCTGTCTGCTGCTGCTGCTGCTGCTGCTGCTGCTGCTCCGCCCCCACAAGTGACCCCAGAAAGAAAGCCCGGCAGCGGGATCGACTGCAGCCACAGCAGCTCCACCAGCCTCTCCACCAGCTGCGGCTGCTGCAGCAAAATCTCCCTGTTGCTGTCCGCGCATGCGCTGCAGCTGCTGCTGTGTCTGCTGCTGCAGCCGCCTTCGCTGCAGCAAGGCCTCCCGGGAGTTAAGAAGGCCCTGCGGTGTACGTACACCTGCTCGTCGTCGCTCTGCAGCCGCGAGCGCCCCACAACTGCTTCAGCAGCAGACCGGCTGCTGCCTTGCTGCAGCCAGCTGCTGCTGCGGCGCTGCTGCTGCTGCTGCAGCCGCAGGGAAGCTGCAGCACGGCGGGGCTTCCGGCTGCAGCTGCTGCGGCGGCGCTCATCAGACGCTGCCTCGAGATCCCCCTCACCTCTGCTGCTGCCGGAGTCGCTGCACTCGCTGCTGCAGCTGCTGCTGCTGCCCTTGCTGCTGCACCTGCTGCTGCAGCTGCTGCTGCTGCTGCTCCTGCTGCTGTCACTCGTGCTGCTGCAGTACATTGGCCCCATCTCCATAAGATCACACAAAACCTTTCGCGTCCCTTCAGGGCCAGTGGGGGCCTCCCCCAGGGGCTGCAGCAGCCAGGGGCTCCACCGGCGCTTCTGTTCAGCTGCGCTGCTGCTGCTGCTGCTGCTGCTGCTGCTGCTGGTTTTGCTGCTGGCCTGTGCGTCGCAGGCGCCGGAGCTGCACTCCCCTGCGGGGAGACTCTGCGTGGCGGCGTGGAGCTGCCGCTGCTGACTGTGCTGCTGCTGCTGCTGCTGCTGCTGCTGCTGCGGGAGCGCGCGCGGCTGCTCGGGCCTTCCGGCAGCGTCTGCTGCAGCAGCAGCAGCAGCACACCAGCCCCGCCGGCTGGAGGGGGGCCTCCGCAGCAGCCACAAGCTGCTGCTGCATGCAAGCCGCTCGTCTGTCTCTACAACAAGCAGCGTCAGCAGCCGGGCCAGCAGCGCCACATGGCGGACCTGCAGCTCCCCCCAGCCCCCCTGCAGCAGCGTGCCGCTTCCTGCTGCTGCTGCTGCTGCTGCAGCAGCAGCAGAGGCGGACGCCGCAGCAGCAGCCGCCGCTGCTGCGGCCGGCCCCCCCGGCGGCCGCCCCTGGGGGGCCCCCCCGAGGGCCCCCCCGGGGGGCCCCCCTGGGGCCCACAGGGGGGCCCCCGGGGGGCCCCCAGACCCATTTGATAACCAAGAGGGGCAGCAAAAGTGAAGAGATAAAGGAGTTTCTCTGTAAGCAATAAGTTCCTCCAAAAGCATTTCTGCTGCGTCAGTGGAGGGGCTCACTAGGCACGACAGCAGGCAGCTCAGCAGCCTGCGCAGCAGCAGCAGCAGCAGCAGCGCAGCAGCAGCAGCGCAGCAGCAGCAGCAGCAGCGGCGAAACACAGGAAACCCTCAGCAACACGCCAGCAAACACACACACAACGTGCTGCAGCAGCGCTGCTGCCCCAGCAGCAAAAAGAGCGGCAGTCAACGCAGCAGCAGCAACGCCAAGAAGACAAAAAAGCGGACAAGAAACAGCAGCAGCAGCAGCAGCAGCAGCTTGTGCAGTCTCAAAAGACCAGGCCGTGTCAATGGCAGCAGCAGCAGCAGCAGCAGCACCAACAACAGCAGCAGCGTTTGGGAGCAACGGCGAAAAGGCGCAGCAGCAGAAGCGTCAGGAGCGACTGCAGCAGCAGCACGAACAGGAACAGCAGCAACAGCAGCAACAGCAGCAGCAGCAGCAGCAGCAGCAGCAGCAGCAGCAGCTCACCCCGAGTTGTGGGCGAGCTGGTCTGCAATGGGCGCATGCAGCAGCACGAACTCCCTCAGCAAATAAAAGCACTCGCTGAATACTACATGCAGCAAGTCCCTGACTTCTGCTGCTGCTGCTGCTGGCACCCTTGACAGCAGCGCAGCAGGAAGTGCTGCTGCTCCTGTTGCGAGCCCCACGAGTGCAGCAACTCCCCCCAGGCCTCCAAACACACAAATTGTGCGGATTGCAGCCATGCTGCTGCTGCTGCTGCTGCTGCTGCTGCTGCCAGCAGCAGCAGAGTCTTGCTGCACCTCGCCTATGGTGTGGTCCGCCACCCGCAGCAGCAAATGCCTGCACTCCGTCAGGTGCTGCCGCAGCCGCTGCGCCTGCTGCTGCTGCTGCTGCCGCAGCAGCCGCAGCTCCCCTATTCGCTGCCACCGCTGCCGCTGCGCAGCAAGGGCCAGCAGCGCCTGCTGCTCCTGCTGCTGCTGCCGCAGCTGCAGCACCAGCGACACGATCTCGTCCCCCGCAGGGTTGCTGCTGTGTCTGCTGATGTGCTGCTGCAGCAGCTGCACTGCAGCATCATTGCTTACTGCAGCAACTCCAGTGGCCAGCGGCTTCCGCCTAGCAGCACGAACTCTTAAGAAGGCATTTGCTGCTGCTTCTCGGCTTCTGCTGCTGAAGTCCCAGCTGCGGTTTAGCGCTGCAGCAGCAGCAGCACTCGCAGCAGCTGGGGCCTCCGCTGCAGTGGACCCCGCTGTGTCTGCTGCTGCTGCTGCAGCAGCAGCAGCTGCTGCTGCTGGTTCTGCCACCGCTCTCACTCCATTCCCCGCTGCCCCTTCACTTGGCTGCGCTGCTGCTCCACCTCCAAATGAAGCTGCTTCCCCCGAGGTAACAGATGCTGCTGCTGCTGCTCCGAGTGCAGCTGCAGCTGCTGCGCCTGCTGCTGCATCTGCTGCTGCAGGCTCTGCTGCAGCTGGTGCTGCAGCAGCTGGTGCTGCAGCAGTTGGTGCTGTGGCAGTTGGTGCTGCAGCGGCTGGTGCTGCAGCAGTTGGTGCTGCAGCAGCTGGCGCTGCAGAAGCTGGCGCTGCAGCAACTGGTGCTGCAGCAGACGGTGCTGCAGCAGCTGGTGCTGCAGCAGACGGTGCTGCAGCAGCCGGTGCTGCAGCAGCTGGTGCTGCAGCAGCTGGTGCTGCAGCAGCTGGTGCTGCTGTTTCTACGACCTGAATGTGAGAGTCCTCTGGCGCTGCAGCGGCTTGTTCTGTAGCAGCAGCAAATGAGCGCGTGGTAGACTCCTCTCCCTCCATCAGACCCAAGGCTCTCTGCTGCTGGTGCCGCTGCTGCTGCTGTTTGTGCCTCTCGCCCGCCCTTCCTGCACTTGCTGCTGCTGCTGCTGCGGCTGCTGCTGCTGTTGCTAGAAATTCTTCCGGCGACTGCAGCGGGAGAAGGACAACCAGTCCACGGCAGACTGTTCGGTAAGGACAGCTGCTGCTGCCGGTGATGGTATTATTGCTGCGGCACTTCTGATGGTCTGCTGCTGCTCCTGCTGTTCCTGCTGCTGCTTCAAGTCAACCAGAAGACACAGTAGTAGGAAGGATAAACTCCGCTGAAACCTTGCCCTGCAAACTCCATGCTGCTGCTGCTCCCGTTGCTGCTGCTGCTCCTGCGGGGCTGGCTGCCGTTGATGCTGTTGCTGCTGCTGCCTTTCGCGATTCTGCTATGCCTGATAACGCCTGCAGCCTTCAGTGTATCGATTCCTTCCACTGCAGGGAATTTGTCCTTTGCCTTCTAGTGGCTGGGGCTTTCCTCGCTGGGGCTGCTGCTGCTGCACTGCCACGCCCGGCGCCTCTGTTGCAGCAGCAGTGACAACCCGGCGGCTGCAGCCGCCGCGCCGAACTCGTTCATGCTTTCTCTGCCGCCACATCTGCAATTAAATAGTTAAAATAATATCTATTTCGCATTTTGCGCCACAAGAGACCACTCAGGACACGCAGACAGCGCATGTCCTGCGCCGGTATCCCGCACGGGTTTTGCTCTTAGAGGGCGCTGCCCTGCTGCTGAATAGTGCAGCAAATACACACTTCAAAATGTGAATTTATGCAGCAAAAATGAGCTTTCGTGCTGCAGTAGGGCGAGTACTGCATGCTGGGCTAGCTGCGGCCACTGGCAGCCTGCAGCGGCGAAACTTGAACTTGAATGAAAGAAAATGCGACTAAGTCGGCACACAAGTGACCCCCAAGGCGCGAAAGCAGCAGATGATTTAGCCTCTCAGGCTGGACATCAAGAGGCACGCAGATTCCTGAACAAATATCTAATTGATACTTTTGCAAAAAAAAGCTAAACACACTTCGATGCAGTAGTAGTGCCACACTTACCACTGAGGGTGGTAGCTGCTGCCTGGGAGAAAGCCGCTAAATCCTAGCTGCTTTCTCCACTCTATAAACATTTTCAGAGGCATTTGAATTCCCTTAGTGGCTTTTTAGCACAAATACTCAAGGCTATTGAATATGGCGTGGAGAAAGCACTAGAGGCGCTGCAGTTCTGAAGACACTGCGCCTGCTGTTCCCGCGTGTGGCCTGGAACTAAAGTGTAAGAAAGAAAGCAGCAGAGAAAAGGAAAATTAAATTCATTTTGTGCACAAAGGAAGCAGAAAAGAAAAGATTTTGTTCTTTTTCCCAGCCAGATAACTCGCAACCAGAGGCTCCAGCCTCCCCCTTCAGGTCAAATGGCATTTACCAGTATGTCCTGAGACTGAGGCTGGCTTGATCGAATATCTCAAGTACATTTGCTCGGGTACATAAATACATATATATATATATAGATATTTATGTATATGTATATATGTATATGTCTGCATATGAATATATTTCTACCGCCATTCGTAGCGCAGCTGCAGGCAGCACACCAATTTTGCAAGAACATCTTTTTGATTTGCATGTTTGGTGCAGCTTTCTTCGTTTCCATGCTAATTATGATGTTTTCCATTTAAAGAGTAAGTGTAGGATTTCAGTTTCCATGGGATCTGGGCTGTGCAGCGCTGTTGCCACCCTCGAGTTATGCAAGCAGCAAACTGCAGCAGCAGCCACAGAGGCAAACGCTTATGCATGTGTCTGGAAAAAGCCTGCCTTCTACATATGTGCAGATACATATGAACATAATGGAGATTGTAGTTGAATTATAAAAGGGTCTTCTCCTCAAATTAGATTAAATATGTGATTGATGGGCTCATCGGGGTCACCAGTGTTTGGTGCAACGCCACTTAGAGGGGAGGCATTCACTTTTGACCCTCAGTCTTATCTTTAACATAACCAGAAAGTCAAACTTGAGAGCGTTTCTCAACAGTGAAGTTTTTCACTAAGTTTCTCACTAAGACCTTTTGGGATATCTCATTTCCTCTACAGAAAGAAATCCCCAACTTCCAGTGTATGGGGAGCTTGAGCCACCACTGTTTCCTTTTTCCTTCTTCGGCTCTTTAAATCACTCCACGGCAACTCTCAACTAACTGTAACAATAAAATAATATAAAATATTTCAAAAGGCGCATTTAACCCACAAAAATGCCAACTGTGGGGCCACAGTCGCCAGCTAATGCAATTCACATTCTCAAAGCTTTCCTTTCGCACCAAACAAAGCAGCAGCAAAGGCCACATGTGTTCTTCGAAGAGTTTTCCGCAATTCTCTTAAGTAGTTATATCTTTTTGCTTTAAAATACAGAAAGTTCAAATCTCACCCACACGGGGAAATGCTGTTCCTCTTTTGTTGCCACCAACAACTCAAATGAAACTTACGGAAGTACCATTTCGCCACAATTAGCAGCACTAATAGTCACCTGAGCTTGTAATGGCCACATAATGTAATTGAATATTTCAATTTATTTCTCGATTCTAAAACGAAGGAAGTTCAACTTCCAGATGAGCTGACGGCGTTAAGTTAAAAGCCTCAATGCAGTGCGTTTTAGAGAGTTTGTTAGGAGTTGACTGAGTTCAGTGTTAGTCGAACATAGCGTAACTGCGACAAAAATGGGTAAATTCAACTCTAGATCATAAGATTCGTATTATTTATAATGTATGAGTTCAGTGCGTGGCATAGGTGGCCAATTTCCCAAGACTGCAGGGCCGCGGTTGAGGCGTCCACGGTAACTGGGCTCTTAAGATATTGATGAGAAGCAGCAAAGTTTGTCTGTCTTTTAGACTTTTGAAACTCTGTTGGGATTCCAAAGGTTCCACCGCGCAGGCATTATGCACACGTCGAAAGCTGCGACGGGGCAGTTCGGCCGATTGCGAGGCTCAAATGAACGCCCCGATGAAAGAAAATGAAAGAAAGATGTTTTAAAATGCAGGAAAATTAAATATTAAAAAATAATGAGAGCATTAAGGGCCGTTGAGGGGCAGAGGGAGGCTTGAGACCACAGTGCGCCCACACACGACCCTTCGCGAGTCCTGCCATGGAGAGGGTGGAGCTGGGGCCCCCCTAGGAAATATGCGAGTCAGTTTCCAATTGCGAAATTTTGGAACACATAACAAACTTAAATACTTCATTAAAGTAAAATTGAATTAAGTTTTTGTGTTTTCCAGGGCGGCAGCGAGTGCCTGTTAACTCGTGGACTTGGGTTGCAGTATCGACTGCTGCTGCTGCTGCTGCTGCTGCTTGTTCGTACCTGTCGGCTCGTTTCGGTTTGCTGCATTCGGAATTCGCTCTGTGTCGCCATTTAAAATGTATTTTGTTTTCATGAATGCGATCTATCTAAATAAATGAGAGTGCACCGGCGGTCTGTCTGTACTGCGCAGCTCACCCTGCAACGGTGCACCGACCATCGGGCTGTTGCACATTCAGGTTCAGGCTGCTGGCACAGCGGCGAGCCGCATGTGCATACGTATCCTAGTGGCATCTGGGCGCGATTTTATCCATTTGGAAAGTGTAGCATTATGGTTTGCATGTATTCCTAGTCTTTGTTGCCAATTGCCGCGGGGCTGTCTGCCATTCAGTGTTTGGACCAGCTATATCGGCTGTAGCGCGGCCATACCGTCACCGTCTGCCTCCCCACCCACTGCTTTCCCCTTCAGTCTGCAGGACAAACCCTGCATGTAATTAACGAACAAAGGTTTATTTCTATTTCGGCTCTTCAGATCAACAGGGGCGGTCATGAACGTGGAGCTGCGGTGATCTCCTGAGGCCTGCGTGGACCGTTCTGGCTCTAGTGGCTTTCCCTACAAACTGAAAAGCCTGTGGGACTCCGGCTCTGGCACTGCGCAGCAGGAGTCAGACAGGACAGGGGCAGAGAAGCACTAGGTGTGTACGGGGGGCCCCTCCTCCCCTGTCGCAGCAGCAGCAGTAGGGGAAAACTGGGGCATAGGCCGACACTTTTGTTTCTAAGGCCTTCGAAACTGCACTTCTTGGGAATTGCAGCTCAAATTAAGACACAAAATGAGGCCTGGAGATGTCAAGGAACACAGCGCGGCCTCAGCCGCTGTATACGACCAGCTGCCCCTCAGGACATGGGACGGGGAACTGACGGCGCAAGGGTAAAGGCACTTCTGTTGGGCTGTTGTTGTAAAAGAATTAGATACTAGGAATGGGGGAAAACTCAATTTTTATTTTGAAACTGAGGGTTCGCTGGAGAAGTTTCTCTGCAGCAGCAGTTAGTGAATGTGTTCTTTATTTCTTAGTGTTGTTTCTGTCTTGTGCTTTCTTGCAATTGCAGGCAAAACGCCGATAGAAACCACTCAGCTGCCGCTTCTGGCGCTGTGGCGGGGGAGAGTAAAGCCAACCCTCTAGTGAGTGTGTAGAGAGGGTCTCAATAGTTAGCTTCTTCATCGAAATCTGTGCATTTAATTAAAATGGAAACCATTGTTCAACAAATATTTCGGTACTTGCACTCGCTGCGGCTGCGGGAAGCTGTGGGCTTTCGCCGATGTGGAGCCATTGCCCCACCAGCACAGCCCTACACAGAGTTCACAGAGTTATGTAACAACGCATTTACATCCAATTCTCACTCTGTGTGCTTTTGCTTCTGTTACAGGGCAATGGTGTTGGCTCCGATCGTCCGAAAGACGTAGTGAAACTACCGGAATCCGAACGCATGCAGCTGTACCAAAGGCATGAGCTGTGCGTGGGTTCGTTTCAGCTTCTCTAGCTCCACCTTCCCCTGTGCTGTCACCTTTTATCGAGTATATAAACATATTCAAGTTCAATTTCTCAGCCAAGCAGCAAACCCCCAACAAATGGGGAATGGTACATTCTTAGTGGTCGCTATGAAACGTGTTCGCGTCTCAGGCTTGTTGACCAGCACGAGAAGATCGACTACAGCTTGCAAGTCATTCTGGATGAAATCGCCTCCCTTAAGGTACATTTGTTGGGTCCTTTTGTATGGCAGGAACTTGAACTTGGGCGGATTTATGTTGCGATGCAGTTGCCGCTGTGGGCTTCCTTTCGAGAGGCTCTTTGTGTTCGATTTGGGGAGCTGTACAGGCTTTGAGCACTCATGTTTCTAGACTATCTATTGTACTCATGGTGGCCTTCATCCAACTGGTGAAAGACGCCTTGGTTTCAGCCGCGCTTTTGACCATATTCTCTTGATTGAGTTGAACGCAACAGAATCACCTGGTTGCTTTCTCTGCGTGTGAAATAGCCGCTCGCTGGAACCATTTAGGACGCGAATTGCGGATTTTACGCTTTGTTGGGATTGTGTGTCGCTGTGCCTCAGGCGCAGGCCGCAGAAGAGAATGACTTGAATGTGCTGATGGTGCAGTTTATTGTCATGGCTGTGAAGTTACTTGTGGAAGCCGCTTTCAACAAGGACAAGGGTCAGCAGCGGCCTTCGCCGTTTTCTCAGAATAGATTCAGGAATAGCATGCGAGCCATGAATTTGGTCAAGATCTTGCGGCTCATTGTTTTGGCCTGCTCACGAGTTGCTTATGCTTCTTTAGTGCTCGGGGAACATTCCATTTCGCCGCTCAACTCTCACTTGGCAAAGCATTAGTGTACATAGGCCGTCATTGATAGCCGTATTGTTGCTTATTGAGCTCAATCAGCGAATCCAGAACTGTTTTTGTGTTCAGTGGAGGAGCTGCTGCCTACACTTGAGGCAGAATTTCAGCGATTGCAGCTGCCATCTCGGCACCCAAGGCTCTTGGCGTGCTTCAATAGGCTGCGCGAAGTTTGCGGCAAGCCGCCGGTAACTGAGAGTGACTTGGCCACAAAATTAGTGGTTGTTTCAGTGACTGATGCAGATGGTGCTGTGCCCAGCAAGAGCTCGCCCGTAAGCAAGCCCTTCTCAGGCCAAGAGGTAGCACCAGCAGCAGCTGCTGCTGCTACTGCTGCTGAGCCATCGGTCTCAGGCGCCAGCCGAAGGGATGCGCCAGCCCGCTCTGGGGGCCTCGTGGATGATTCTGAGGACGAGAAGAGGAGTTCTTCTCCGCTTGGAAGCAAGGATTTTCCTGCTGTTGTTGTGCACGACAGCAACTCTCGCGAGCCTCCTGCTGCAAAGCCAGCAGAACTGATGCCTTCTCGCTCGGTTGATTCAGCCTTTAGAAGGGAGCCAGTGTTCACGCCGGGAGAGAGGCGCAGAACAGCCACCGCATTTGGTGACGGTGAGCTCCAAGAGGGAACACGCAGCAGGTGTACTGTAGCTTTGGGGGATTTTTCCTTTTGCATGTTTCCTATATGGGCTATGAACGTGTACTTGTTGAGGTGCTTTGGGGTGAATTGTGTATGTGTTCCCACGTGTGTTTGAAAAGGTATGTCAGTGTTTGGTAATATGGGTTGTATGTAGAGATATAAGGACAAATTCCGTGCGTCAGTTAGTGCGCGCACGCTTTTCTGCGGCATTTCTTGTGCTGCAGGAGACTTGCCGCTATTTCAACAGTTCGCTGCAGCTGGAGCGGCGCCTGCGCCTGATGAGTGTCAGGGGTTGGGCAAGCCTTTGGACACAGCTCTGCTGAGCCAAGCGCCGAAGGGAACTCCGATGGATCGCATGCTGGTTGAGGAGGCTGTGGTCCGTGAAGCGCAGGAGTTGGAGATGGAAGGAGATTTGGGCGGATCCGGCTCCAGTGAAATGGGGTATATGGATGCAGTTCAGAGAAACAGCCTTCAGAGCGGGTCTCACGGCAGCCTTTACAGAGACTGGGGTTCAGAGGGAAGGACGAAGAGGGCGGAGTCTGGCCCGGAGTTGGCCGCTGATGAAGGACCATCGGAGCTGGGGGATTCCACAAGATCGGTAAAAGCATTGAGCACCTTCGGCGAGGGAGGTTCGTTTGATGGCTTACTGAAACATGCCACCACCATTCTTTCCATGTCACCTTCCGAGTTAAGGGCTGCGCTGCTGCGGAGCACACACGGGGCCAAGTCCGACAGTGCGCTACGTGTGCGGCATGCCCACGGCGTTGTGCACGAAGACGAACTCTCGGGTCGATTGGATTCAGAGGGGCCTCCGGCACCCATGCATTCGCTAGCGGTCGGCGACAGCAAGGACCACATACAGCTGCTCCAAGATGCAATGGTGGCGGTGGCTGTTGCTGCAGCTGGGGAGCTGCGTGAAAAGAGCAAGGAGAAAACGAAGATGGAGCGGGCAAAGGAGGGGCAAGCCGTTAACAACGGCTCCAGTCCAAGTCGAGGAGAATCCGGAAACAAAAGTAAGGCTGCTGCAGCTGTTGTTCCGGCGCAAGGGAATGCTAACGCTCAAAAGATGCAGATGACAGCGCAACAGCCTGGGGTCCTGAAAGTGCCACAATGTAAAGTACTTGGAGCTGAGTCCGATGCTTCTGACAAGGCAGCGCCACCCTCACGTGCTGTAGAGAATGGACGGTGTGGTGACGTGTGTGGGGCATCAGTTGTCGGTTCTCCTATTACTGGCCGCACGGCCCCTCCGCCAACGCCGGACATGTTGGCGAATCCGAAGACGGGGGAAGCGGCAGGTCCTGCGTCGGCGCAGGACTTCCCGTTTCAGAACGCTGGAATGTATTTGCCGGCAAATCAACTTGCTTGGCAGCAGTTTTTCGACAAAGCAGCGGCTTCTGTGATGCAGCGCAGAGAAAGGGAGTACTTGGAAAGCCAGGCAATGGCCCAAGGCCAGTGGATTGGGCAAACTGGAAGCATTCCCCCTGTCTATTCGGCAGCCATGAGCTACTCTGTGCCCGGAACTAGTGTAACAGAAACAGACGCAGCGTTAGGACGGGGTGTGGTTCCCGTGGGGGCGCCGGCTGCCTTCCAGCCGAGGATGGCAATGGGACCCACAGCTCAAGGTCTGGCGGACCCGGCCTATGTACCGCCTGTTGTGTCTCCCTTGCCGGCTGTGAAGATCGCTGTGCCGAAGGCGCCTAACGCAGGTCCAGCGCACTGCGGGGCGGGGAAGCAGCAGGTGGTGGCTTCCCGGGTTCATGCACAGCAGGTCAGAGCACCTGAAGTGGTTTCGCTAAACCCCCCTATTATAGTGTCCCAGGATAACACCTTTGAAACTCCACGAACTGAAGGGAACTGGGTGTGCTGCCGGAGCGTGCAGCGAAACGGAAACAAAAACGGAAAAGCGGCCAACCAGTTGCGTTGATTTACTCGCTTAGTTCATGTGTTCTTGGGGGAATCCGGTGGAAGTCACCATGATGTTGGCAGTTGTGGGTTTGTGCACTAGTATTCGTGTTGGGCTTATCGTCTGTTTGTCATGGGCCCTCGCACTGTGCTGCAACTAAGCGGCATTCCCGAGCCAATGGACTGTACCATTTGTGATTATGTCTTGCTTTGTGTCTTGCTGGGACGTGACCAATCACCAATGTAATACATGCAGTAGCTCTCCTGTTGCTGAACTATTTCTCAAGATGCAAAATGCTCAATTTACTAACACGTTTCGGCATATGGCTGCTAGGAGGCAGAATTGTACATGCTTGGCCGGCCTGCTGCAGCTATGCGGCCAGTTTTAGCCAGCAGCTGTTGTAGCTGTTGCTGCGCTTCTATCTCAGTGTTAGGGAAGTCAGTTCGGAGGCAGGATTGGGCAACGCCGCGGAAATACAGCAAATGGAATATATGTCCCCAAACCGGCAGAAGCCAAGGAGCCTAAAGATAAAGTATTACTGGGTGGAGGGATCCTTCCCCAACAAAAACGAGAAATCGTGACGCAACCTGACAAATGGTAGCTGCGGCTCGGCTTCAGTTTGTTCTTTCTTTCTAAAGCTGCAGCATTAGCTGTTCTTGCGCATGGAACTCCAATGCATCTAGGCTAACGTGGGTTACGTCGGCTCCCTCCTGCGGATACTCACAAAAGCACAGACAGCGGCAGATCTTGCTAATAAGCGAACTTCGTTCGAGCGCTTGTCGAAAAGTTTACTTGAACGGAATCAAGTAGATGATGAGTAGATGATTCGTAAATGGATGCCAGCAAATGCACTTTCGGCTTTTCTGCATCGTGCGGAGCAGATTGTTGCAGGGCTTCGACATGGATTAAATCGAAGGCCTGTTAGTGCTCACATCTGAAGCTGGTGTAAACAGCAAAACTTGGTTGTTCATTGAACAGAATCTCCGTCTGGGGTGCACACATCACAAGTCAGCCTTCTGTCCGATTCAACATGCTGCATGCGTGCAAAGTGCATGCATACATACATAGTGCGTACTGTCCAGCTGCAAGCAGGGAGAGCTTCATAGTGGCCTCACTTTACACATCCTGCAGTGACGATACAGTGCTAATCGATAGTGAAACATGAGGTGTTGACGTTATCTGCCTCTCTAAGAGTGCAGTGAATGAAATCCTTAGCCAGCGTAACCCTGTCAGTTTTGCATGTGGGAGGGCCAACAAGGGGTACTTTTAGTCAGCGTGAGCAAACCAGATGCACTGATAGTCTTACCGCGGAAAGGTCTGTACAAGAGAGAAACTTGACAGGGCTGTGAGGGGTCGAACGCCTTCCATGTTTTGGCTTTCAAATACTATCCACTCACAGATGTGCTGCAGCAAGAGCAGATAGACGGAGAAGCTCACCTTTGTGCTACATCCTGAACCCTCGACCCTACATATCTTTTGCATGCGAAGCAGACTGCGATTCATGATGATTTACGAGCCAAAGGAATGACGCAGAAGTGATGGCAATACTAAGCTTTTTATATTTTAGAGTGGACATTGGACGGTGGTAAGTAGGAGCGAAAAGCAGCGGAAACACGAGAACATGTAATCGTGCACTATTGCGGCATGCTCATACAGTTGCTTGCCTTGATTGTCTGGTCTTTACGAAACCGCCGAGACAGTCGCTTTCCAGACGGCGTTCTCACAAATACGAACTTTACGTCCGCCTCGCCTGCTGGAGGTTCCTCGGGCGGCTTTGCTATTTCCTGGCAATGCAAAAGAGCTACTGTAGTAAACGCATAGTAATGCCAAATTCAAATATATATATTAAGATTGTACTTGTGAGATTATGTTATTCATGCATTCACTGTAGTAGCGTTTTTCTGTTTTGGTTTATGTTTCTGAAGCTGCCCTCCGGTTACATTATTGTATGCACTGCGAAAAGTCTTGTTCTTGAATCCTCCTGCTCACTCAACTCCCTTGAAAGTGCAAACTGTACCCTAAGTTCCTTTTCTTCGCCGCACACGTTCAGTGTCATGCAGTGTCTTTCTACAGGCAAACACAGAGGATTCGAAAGGTGCAAACTGGCCCGCGTACCTTTTTGTAGCATTCCATAGACAGACGAATAGCTTCCTGCAACTCAGGATCTTCTGATGCGTCTTCTGGCCCAGCGCCGTCAGCTACAGGGCTCCGATCCTCGAGGCGACTGAGGTACAAAACGTGCATGCGAAATGGGGCAATAAGCTAAAATAGTGCCGGTCGTTGTGTTGTGTAGAGTTTTGCAGCGAGCTTCATGAAATTTGGGAGGCGCCCATACATGCATGAAACCATGCCTGAGAATCTGAACCGCAGACTGTTCCCCCTAGGCCAGATATGGTTGCCGACGCTTACTATCCTTCTCCCTGCGGCCATACGTGGGGTTCCCTGCCTCTAGGGGCACTAGCGAGGAATGATTTTCCTGAAGTCTGTGGCAGGAATACCCATATAGTCAGTACTTTAACATGAATAATGCAGCTGCTTAAGAATAAATGGTGCCATGCCCGGAATAGCGATATCAGTGGAAAACCACCAGCACATGTGTTCTCTATGAAAAAGCGGCAAGGGAACATTTTGGCGGTCTAAAAACAGTCACAGTATAGCAAGTGTTGAAAAAAAATCAATTTCCAATAAACCTGACCTTGTTTTCTGTGAATAGCATTTAGGACAGGAACCCAGAGAACCAGATAACTGGGGAGACAAGGAGATACTCACTGCATCTCCATTGCCCCCAAGACGTTGGGCTTCTTGAGCCGCTTTCGTTTCCTGTTCCGCCGCTTTCCTGTGGAGCTCTGAGCAGGTCAGTCATGTTCAGAATATTAAAATATACAAACTTCAGCTGCGCCTACACTCATGTTCAGGTGAAGCTACCATGAGCTGTTAGCAGCTCCTTTTATACGTCTCTTTGTTGGGCTTGCTGCGTAACGACAGATAAAATATCGGCTGGCTTGGCCACAGTCGCCTCACCCTCAATCTCCTTTTGTGTCAGGTAGAATTGATTATTGTTTCGAGTTTGCATGGCTCCTGGGGCCGGCAGATCACCCACTTCCGGTCGCACGATGAAAATAGTATAGCCCTGGCCCTTCAAGGAGCTCAAAAATGCCTCCAGGTGAAAGCTTGAAATGACAGTGGGCGCCGGTTTCATGCTATCCAGATTGTACCTGTAAACAGTCCGCACAGTCCGCACATGTTAAGATGTTTTTCCAGCCCTTTGCAATACATAATTCAGAATTTTAGATTCGGAGTTGTGATGAGGTCCCGCGCACCATGTGCCGTGAACTCTGCGCAGCGCCAGCCAGTGGTCCGCGTGGTTCAAGATGTAGCCGAAGTCGACTCCAGCTTCCTCATGCTCGCCCACATTCCTTTGACAAATGCAGTGGATTCGTTTCCGCCGTAGGCATTCTATCAAGACGCTGACATTGAAATATCCATCAGCGGCGACGTTGCCGCTGCCTTCCGCCAAGAACGCTTGGTAGTCCTTGGATTGGGTACCTGAAACACCCACCAAGCCTAATTTTAAACCTGAATTACTTGTGTGTGATTGAAACATCTGAAGAAACATGTACGTGTGCTAGGGGAAGCCGCGCATCAACACAGCTTGAGCCACACGCAGCACCGTAAGTGCAAATACACTGGCCATAGGCTCAAGCGGACCTCCCTCTGCCATCAATTGTCGCTCCTTCTGGTCGAGTTCCAGCCCTATGGACGAAAGTTCCGCCTCCGTGAAGTAAGGGCCCTGCAATGGCAGTTGACGAGCAACTTGTAGTTCTCTTCAGCTCAATGTTGCTTCTTCTGAGTCAACCGCCTAGCTGATAATCGGCAGGATGTCTCAGGTACACTATTACTGAATTTGTTTTCACAAAGGGCAGTATTGGACCATGACAGCTCCAGCTTTCTTCAGCATGCGTAGCCACCTCACCTGCAGTACCGAGTTTAGGCAGTGCAGAGCGCACATGCGATCTGCCCCTTGCTTTTCCCAGTACACTAGTGGACCACGAGACCGCATTGACATTGTAGATTGATGAAGGTGAAGAGAAGGTCACGCGCCGCTGCGTCAAGTTGACGAATAAACCCGAAGGTCGCGAAGGGGACCAGCAAGCCGCTGATTTCTTACGCAGTGCAGGCAGTCGTATTCGGTGGGTTCAAGTCGAAGCAGCTGTATTCCTCTAAAGGCTCATAACTAAGCTGTGGTAACCTCTGACCATTAACGGTACGACTTTGCATGCGTCGAGGGTAGACGTTCTGTAAGCGCACCAGCTACGAGCTGTCCACTGGCGACAGCGCAAATAAAATCAAGACTAAAGGAACTTATGGGTATTAATTCGCCCCAACTGTTTGCTTTGCCTTTGCTGAGTTGCCGAGCCAACTCGTGAAAGGCGCCGCCGACAGTGGCTGTTGACTCGCTGCAGCATGCAAGGCCATAGAGAGATAGCAACGGAGGTACGTGCAGCCCCTTCCTGATTCCTTTCAGGCTGAGAAAGCAAGAAAAGTTCGGGAAGGAAGGAAATAACAATGGACTCTGCGTGAGCCGACTCGCCACGAGGGAAGCAAGCGGTCAACTGCCAGCACAGCCAATAACCGGAGGCGCCAGTCAAATTTTTGGCACTAAACGCCCCCACAAAATACCTGATACTATCTATTTGAAGTACTTTTGGCTCTGGCTCGGCTAGGAGGAAAAACGTAGCGTCTGATTGCATGCGTGTTTAACCAGGGACGGTGGCGGCCGCTCGCTCCCTCCTCTGCATACGTGAAACTGAAACCCAAAGTCATTAGGCCACTTATTGACTTTTTGACCGTAGCCAATGTAATTAAGCTACAAAGTGAATAGTTTGTTTTCCAGTGAAGCTTCAAAACCCGCGTTCAGCGTTAGGTGGTGGTTGTTGCTGGAAGCCACAGCGGAACACAGTTGCTGCCAAACTTATAAGAGCAACACAACTTAGCAATTTCGATAGGGCACAAGATGCATTGCTGGTGCAATAAAGGGCTGAGATCAAAATGGCATCATGCATCAATAAATGCATTGTTAACTGTATTGCCCACTCTCCCAAACCCACTTGTTCTGAAATATACGCAGTAGAGTCCAGCATAAAAGTAACAATGTTCAGACTTACATGAAAGACATACAAGCTTTACCAGGCTCGACACAAAGGCTCGCGCGCGCAGGCTCATGGATTAATGTAGGAGCATGCAGTTAATTTTAAGCATTCTGCGCATGTGGAAGTAAGTAAACAAAATTTTGTTTTTAATGTATACAAAAAGTAAACCTGTATTTGTACTTTGATGTCAATTCCGATCATATGTTTAGAGGCCCCACGAGGCACCAGAAGCCATGATGCTCACTAACTCTAGAACAATGAAAAGTTCAGCAGAAGATGCAGACAGCTGGAACTGGAAACACTGGTATTCCAGTTAGGCACGGCAGAAATAAAGTTCAAGTTCTTAGCAAAGCAGTGCTACAAGGGGGCTCACGGGGTTTGCCTCGAGGCTGCGCATAAATGCCCCCCGGACGCGTTGTCTGAAGACATTGTGCGTGGCCTTAGTGAATGAGGTTGGGCATAAATGCCCGCCGAGTGCGTTGTCTGAAGACATTGTATTTGTGTGTGGCCTTAGTGAATGCACTTAGCACTGCTGTCTCTGACACCAATATGCATGTGTGTCATGCCTGCGACCCTGTCAAGTGCCCATGAGCATTCTCCCCAGTCTTCCACAGGAGTTCCTGTTTGGGCATATGAGCACTGCCACGTTCACATTCCTTCTGGGGCATTGTCTTTCCAGCATTGGCTCATGAAGAGAATATGTTTTGCAGTCTCTTAGGAAGTTTTCATTACATCGCAATGTTGTCCGCCCCTTTTTCCTCCATGAATGTAATCTGGTGCTAACTGAGACCCAGCACCCTTCATTTAAAGATCAACTTGAGGCTCCTCTAGAAAACCATGGAAAACTGTTCTTGTGGCATGAAACAAATACTCATGTTTGACCATTTTGCCTCGCGCTTCACTGTGGCCAGCTTAGCTCTAGCCACGCTGAATTTACTTTCCTACTTACACCTGCCTCTGGTCCTACGCGAAAGAGGCCGCCAAGGCAGCTGGCCCTATGGCCACTCCGTGTTACGTCAGGCTGATTGTGCGCTTACACGGCCAAAAAGGCCCTTTAATCAAATTTTGCATGAATTCGCAAGGTGACGAGTTGCGCAATGCGCTGTGAAGGAAATAGGATAAAGAATAAATGATGAAGTTCCCCATGACTGGTGACATTGTGAAGTGCTGCGTTTTACCCAGGCTGAGCTCCAGTCAGCCTCACTAGTAAGTGTGCATTATCTTTACGCGATTCGAACTGTAGATGTGCCTTTTCTTCACGGCTACAAATGAGAATCAAGGCATCTTTAATTCTTAGGTTCTGCTCATTAAGTCAAACAAGTTATGGACCTTCAAGCGTGGTTCTACAAATGCAGCTGAAGCTCTCTGCACGCTAAGCTGCGAAGACTTCAGCATACGTGGCAGTACTGTGATGCGAAGCGCCTCAAGCCGTGGAACGATCTGGGCTTCTTCATGGAAAAAACGGAATTCCTACAGCTCCTGTGGAAACGTATTCCTTTTGACGGGTCCACATGGGAACAATGAAGAACAATGAAGGGCATGAGGAACAATGAAGGGCGAATAGTTGCCCGCCTGCTCATTTAAGCCATAAAAGACGCTATATTCTTAATGGCCGAAACCAGTGAGCGCCTTGTACTCCCCTCGTCGAGTTAGTGAATGTCCCACAACTAACACCGCATGTCTACTTTCAAGTCAATCCAATTTGGACTGCCTGCAAGTGCTCAGATGGGTTTTCGCGCTATAATTTGATTAATTCTCCTAGTTCACCGCGCGCTAAATCCCTGATCCTGCCGTGCATACACGGGCTTGAACAAAAACAGGAGTCAATTACTATTCTTGTTCCTGCACAGATTACGGCAGCGGGTTGCCAGCTGCATTTGAGTTCTGCGGATGGCCTCTGCAGAGGGCCTCATATATATGCCATATGCAATGCGGAGAAGTACGAGTCACCGCACCGTGCACTGATGTTCACAGCATGTGCGCAGTCAAGTCAAAAACTGCCACTGGACAACAGAACGTGGCGCAGAGAACTCAAGAAAGGCCCATCAACGCTGAGCCAATCGTCCAACGAGATCGGATACTGAGGTACGAAACAAACCATCTCTTCTTAGTCTGAATACGGAGGCATCAAGAAGTATTCTATGCAACAGCGCAAAGGATGACAAACATTCGAAAGTAAGTGAGGAAAGGAAATACTGATTTCCCTCCATGCCAATGGCCTGTGCACAGGCCCCGCCACTTTTGCGCAGCTTCGCGGATTAGCGCAGCAGCAAGACAATACTGCGTCAACTTATGACGGCCCAAACAGGCCCAGCTTTCTGGCTTCGAACTTCAGCTGTGTTAAGTGGGCCTGTGCAGGCGACTAAAAAGATAAAAAGTTTACAAGTAACCCTCCGCGATGATTGCGTCCGCAACTTTACGGAAACCGTCAACGTTTGCTCCAGCCACTAAATCCCTCTCATCCCTGCCATAAGCCTTGCCTGCAGCAGTGCACTTTTCAAAGATGTCGCTCATGATTTGTTTTAGTCGCGTGTCCACTTCCTCGCGAGTCCAATGTAATCGCATTGCATTCTGGCTCATCTCCAGACCGCTCACAGCTACTCCACCTGCACCACAAACCTCACTGAAACCTGTGGCAAATTAGTGACAGGAAAATAAGCAGAGAAATTTGAATGCCGGTTTCACGCAATCTCGGGCTACTTGCACGCTGCAACATAGTCAGTGATCGTCTCCTGGATTTAGGCCTGTGCAGAGCAGTGCGACCTAACGTCTCCCGCCGGACATGTTTCTGTGTGTACCTGCATTCGCCGCCTTGCCAGGACAGACAATCACTCCGTTTTTAGTGAACGTTTCCGTGGCCTTGGGCGTCAGAGGCATGTTAGACCCCTCAACGACCACTCTGCAGCCATTCTTGCACATTTTTGCTGCAGCAATGTCATCAACTTCATTCTCCTTTGCACAAGGAAACGCCAGATCAGCAGCCACAGCCCAAGGTGTCTCGTTGTGCTGGAAAACAATAGTGTCACCCTGCGGGTTCGGTCAGCACAGGAGCAAGGAGAGCACCGAGCAGCTGCACATCAGAGATTGTCTCGCACACAATGCTACAGGCTACCGAGGCTGCGCAGCACGCCCTTGTGAGATGAATGAAACTGGAATCCGAGGGAGCAGCAACTGCAATGCTGCGCTTGTTCAGCAAGCCCTGCTGAGATGAGTGAAAGTGGAATCCGAGGGAGCACGAACTGTATGAGTGGCCTGTTGTCCTACGTCTGCAAACGACCTAACGCGAACACAAGAGTCTGCAGCTTTTGCTTCTTTAATACGTTGAATGTCCTCCTTCGAGAATCCCTGGGAGCAATAGATCATGCCTTCGCTGTCGCTGAGGGTCAACACTTTGGCGCCCATGGCTAGCAATTTCTCAGCGCAGTACACTGCCACATTCCCACAGCCACTTAAGGTGCAAGTCTTTCCTCTTAGGCTTTCATTCTGAAAAAACGAATACAAATAACGTCCTAATCCACAAAAGTGGGCAAAGACGTTTCCATATGTTTATACTGGAACGCATTGGTGTACCGTGATAACCATTTTAGCTCGCTGATAGTAATTCTTCTCAAGCTTCGTTTGCATAAACTGAAAGCGGGTGCGGAAGGCTCACCAATAGCTTAGTTAGTACATTTTCAGCAAAATAAGCGCAGCCGTATCCTGTTGCTTCTGGCCGTATCTCCGAACCTCCCCACCCCACATCCTTCCCCGTTATAGCTCCTTCGAAATTGGACGACAGTCGTTTGTATTGACCAAACAGAAATCCAATCTCACGTGTTCCCACGCCAATGTCACCTGCTGGAACGTCTCGAGAGGGGCCAATGTGTTTTGCCAGCTCGGTCATAAAACTCTGCAAAATCCACCGCAGTTTGTGAGTAGTAACAGATATTCATGGGTTATTTATGCAAACTAGAAGCGACTGCCGTGTCCTGCAGATCTCATACAGTGCACCAGGACACAACTTCCTTCTTGTTCACTGAAGTCCACATGCGCATGACGAAGCAGAAAACTGCATAGAGCACTGTACTGATTCGTGAGCTCCACTAGGCCATGCTGCAGAAGAGCCTTGCATGGCATCCAAATCTCGTGATCGTTCTCACCTGGCAAAATCGTCTGATCTCATTTACTGACTTTCCCTTTGGGTCGAAGTCAGAGCCCCCTTTGCCCCCACCCATCGGAAGCCCTGTAAGGCTGTTCTTGAATATCTGTTCAAATCCGAGAAACTTGATCACCGACAGAGACACAGTGGGGTGAAAACGCAAGCCACCTTTGCACGGACCAATTGCAGAGCTATACTGCACGCGGTAGCCGCAGTTGACGCGCTGCAGGCACCAACACAAGTTTATGCTGCACTACTGCGCTTTTCCCCGCTGCTTGTATAGTTGTTCAAATGCAGTACAGAGAGGCAGCTGCGTAGATCGTGTATGACATACTAGTGAGCCTTTATCGTCAAACCAGGGCACTCGAAAGGTTACGACCCTCTCGGGCTCTGCAATGACTTCGAGCGCGCTGATGTACTGCGGGTTTTGCCTTAGGAAGTGCTTCAGCGACTCGCAGACTTCCGAGAAAGCCTGCAAGAATTCCGGTTGCATGGCGTTGCGCTTCTTCACGCGGTACTCCATGCGCCGAATGCGCAAGTCCACGTCGCAATCAGGAGGCGTTTCCGCGCAGGCAACTTCGGGGTGAGCGAGCACACTCTCCGTCATTTTCGCTCTGCAGCAACGTCTCAGAACTCAAAGCCTGAGGCATGATACAGACAAAAATGCAACAATAGGATGATAACACAAAGGATTTCACTAGGAAACAGGGAGAAGGTTGACGAACGTCCCAGTAGCACTTGAGTGTGCCTTGACGGACCATTACCACTGACAGGGCTTGAAAGAACAACTAAAAGTTGGGATCAGGATGAAACTAAAATTGTCCTGCTGTGATGAGGTTCTACTTTCAAGGCATGATGTGCTGCTATTCAATATAAATATCCTTACTGGTTGCAGCTCAGTACACCAGCGCACTTACCAGTGAGGTCAAACGGTGACTTGCCTCGGCAACTCGAAAAGGCACGCCAGAAAATGCTAAAGTAATAGCTAAAAAGACCTGTCAATATTTAATCCCCTAAATGGTTTTTGTTAGGGGTTGAAGACACTGAGTGTAAATGAAAGACAAGGGTAAGCAACACGCTGCCAAGTGACGCTGCGCAGCATAGCCGGGCACTGGTTGTTGCTGCATGCTGCTTGCGCTGTGGCAGCAGGCGGCGTTGACCGGCGCTCGCTCAACAGGAGCTGTTTCTTTCTACTTATTAGCAACTACAACTATGAATTATTTGATTTAATGGAGAAGGGAGGCTCATAACGATGCGCCTCTCAAGATCACAGGCTGCGCGGTTCCTCGCATGCCTTTTCTTGTCGACGTACTGCGCCCGTTGTGTCCTCGCATCTACAGAAGCTCCGCCGAAGGGCCGCCAAATCCGCTTTCTCTTCGCGGCAAGGACAGCATTTTTGCCGCTCGCGGTGTACAACTTACCTGCTGGTCTTCCAGCGCAGCACCTGAGCCACCATTCTCATTGCGGCCGACAGCCTCTTGCCGTACATTCACCTGGCTGCTCAGCGCGAGCGCCCGCACCTATTCGGGTCCCACGCAGGGCGGGCTCTCTCCTTCTTTCCAAACTGTCCTTCTTGACCTCCCCAGACCCTGTAACTCTTGGGGACGAGGGCGCTGTGGAGGGGGGTGGCACATCAAAGGGTTCATTGCTGGACAGGACGCTGCCGCAACCCTACGTGGAGGCGAACTCGCGTTACGTGCGCCTGTCTCCGATAAAGACACGGAGGGTTATACAGGAGCTGCGGGGAAAGACGCTGGCGGGGGCTCTGGCGCATCTCGCCACCTCCCCCCGCCGGCCGGCCCTTGCCATTTTCAGAGCCATCGAGTCGGCCCTGGCCAACGCTGTCAACTTGCACGGGGAGCAGAACCTCAAGCCGCAGCTTGTGTCCGTCACAGCCAATAACGGGCCCGTCATGAAGAGGCCTTTCTTTAAAGCGAGAGGCCGAATGGATATCCGGCGCCGCCCCACAACGCATATAAAGGTCATCATTAAGGCGTTTTGAATCCAGGTGTACAGAAGGATCCCATTGACACCTCATAGCTACATGTTCAAGAGGATTTTGGCCAAGGGGATGCTCAAAGGGACAAGATAGGTTTTAGTACAAGAACTTGATTTGCCTGTGCAATGCTGGCGCACGCACCCGCCACAGCCGCATCCTCCTGAAACCAAATTCTAGGCCAGAAACACAGACTGCTGGAGTTTGCACTGGGTCTTGACTTGACAAGGCTTCATCCTTTTTGGACTTCTTCATTCTTGCTGGGCCCGACTCCAGGCCAGCAGGCCTAGCCAAAGCCAAAGCTGCAGCCAGGGCAGCTACGCTCACTTGTACGACACAGTGCATGCACTAGGCCTGCAGTTGAGTTTCATAGACAGTCCTCAGAAGACTGGAACTGCCGTGGCTTGAGTGCAGTGCAGAACATAATTCGCTACGTACTGTCAATACACATTGCTTGGGGTGCCGCAGCCCTGCCTCTTGTCTTGAGACATTTTTTCGTTTAAAGGAGCGAATCTCCCATGCATCTTGTCGCAGGTACGCATTTATTGCGAATTGTAAATGTTGCATTTTGGTGCGAGTTCGTTTCGGCGGCTAATATGGCTTTCTGTACTGTCGTGTTGCTCTAGAGGGCGAGCATTGATTCAGACACCACGCCAAAAACGTGTAATGGCCACCGAAGTATTACTTTTAGATCGCTGCAGCATCATTTACAGCACGTTTGCCTGCGATGCCAGCACTTGTTAGCGTGTGCACTCCAGCACTGACACCGGGCAAAACACAAGGTACACACAAACGGGGGCTCCGGCCCCTCTCACCCTCAAGGATTCAACAGTTTGGTCTCAGCGGGAAAAAAAAGTCTCACGAAACACTCATAGCAGAGGCGTTACTGCAAGCAGCGGGGAAATTGGCAACTCTCTTCTTTAGGACAATGGCGAAGTTCTAGATGCATATCCAGCAGAAGTCCTGTGGAAAGACCCAACGCGGATATTCACGCGCAAAACTCAAGCACAGCAGTCTGCTGCCGGCCTACTAGACAGAAGAAGCGCCGAAGTGCCGAAATTGAAGAGCAGTTATGTGAAGACATGCTACTGTGGTGTATCCTGAACAGTCAAACTCTACGCAGCCTAGTCACAGCTTTGTACGGAACGTGGAAGGCTTTGAAAAAGATGAACAAGCCACATGAAGTGCCGAGAGTCTCGCGCTAATCGGGTGGTAGGGAGCGGGACAACGGCATAGCAACGTAGTTAAGGTGAGGCCACGAGGGTTTTCGCAAGCTCCCTTGAGACTACAATTCGTGCGGGAGCGCTGCTACATTTATTTTGCACCACTTGAGCCCTGATTTTCGTGACATTAGCATTCAGGGGTATTCGCAGCCTTTGCTAAGCTTGGCTAGCGATGACCACTCCCGGAGGTGCGTACTTGGCGGACAGGGCGTAATCGTGCACTCCTGAACTACCCTGTTCTAGAAGATGCACCGACTTAGGCTTTAGGGGGGATGCATTGTTGGGTCTCTTCGTTCCCCATTATGCCTGCACTGCGATAACAATTTAACCCTGGTGCCTTTATTCGCGGTATCAGCCGTAGGTTCGCTTGGCTGTCCTAGTCATGGAGGCCGTGCTGCGCAGTTCTAAGCGGTTGACGTCGCAATAAACATAAAAATAAGCTACTTAATTAATTGATTGAATCAAATAATAAATGAATTATATCATTGTAATTAGTGCAGCTCGAACGAAAGTCTCGTAGCCCCTTTTGGGCAGCAGCACGCCTCGCCGTTTTGATGCCCTCATAAAGAGAAAAGGCGCTGAATATATTAGCAGGGGGAAGCAAACCGTCTGCCGTCAAGCGTATGGTGCGCCAGCTCGATTTTTCGAGACACCATGTCTCCAAGGCTGCGATCGGCGAATTGCCATTGTCATTCATTGCATGAAGGTTGCATCCCATCAGCTGTTTGCTGTCCGCTCGCAGAGAGCTGCGGTTCGGAAGGAGCTATAATATACTCCTATTCTTTATTATTTTCATGCCCACAGCAAGTAAGCCATTGTGTGTGGGTTTTTAGGTCAAGGCCCACCCGCGCTGCGCTGCCTCCTCCCATCCGTCCAAAGGACCTTAAAATTCCCAGGGTATATGATGATAAGCAACACAAGCGGCAGTATGGCTTCACACAATATTTTAAGTGCATTTTGTCGATAAATTCCGATAATGCACATTGGAAGGGAGGCACTTCCTGCCTTCAGCAGGGCGCTCCGCTCTCCGCCCGTTAGACAACGTGCCGATCACCACTCATTGCTGGACACAAAAAGGCGCAAACTTCGATAAATTATATGCTTTCCCTAAACGCATGAATAAAAACATGGACAGAGCTCACAACGGCACGTGAATAGGGCTATGCTTTCGAGGCTTACTTCTCATTGTTTCCACCAGCTGGAACTGCTCCGCTAATGTTATCTTAGTGTATCAAACTCCCAATGGACACTGTCTAGATACATTATTTGAGTCCATATACAGAAAGTTACACTACTAAAGGGCACGCGCCTGCATGTTAAGCAGAGGGGTGGAGGGACTCTCGCCAAAGGTAATGTGGAACTGGGCCGTGCAGGTGCGCCGCAAAAGGCTCTAGTTGTGTTCGCTTTCATTGGCCAAAGCCACAAGCTTCCTCTTTAATTCATGCATATATCAACATAAGACAGATGTCCCTGTGACTTGCAAGTTATACTGGCAACATTCTGTGAACCGCCAGTGCAAACAGCTGTATTGCGCTTCGCGCAATACAGCTGTTAATAGCGGTGGGCCGTTAGCTTGTAACAAAGCATCTGGCACCAAAAAGCAAGGCATCCAATTCATTCACACGAAGGAAACTTCCCGGAGCATCCCGTCTTCTGTAGAATTCTGGAAGGGTAGAAACCGCTGCATAGTGATTGCAGCAAGAGATGTGCAAAAGGCAAGTCCTTTGGGCTAGACAAAGCAATGAAATCGTGGAGCCTGGCGTATTTTTCGGCTGTGACTCAAGAATGCCTATAATCACCGCCTTTCCTGGCTAACATCTCTGAATATACACGGAAATATTAACTTAGGTCTCCCTTCAGCCCGTTGCCAACGCTGTACACATATTTCAACGACCGTCACGAAACCACGCGTCTTGCTGCCCTAGATGCTGCGTTGTTGTAGCACTTCCATAATCTTTTTTCAGTGTACCTTCATTCCGTGCGTGTCTTTATGCACTCACTACACGATCGGCAGTGTAAATACAACGGGCAAATGAGATGCTGCAGAATACCGTTTAGGCAGCTTTGAAACTCTTGCACACCTTGCAGCGCACTAAGATATGGACTGAAAGTTGGGAAGCGTAGGGCAAGTTTCGTACATTCCCACCTAGAGTTTCTTGGGATATCACTAGGGGATAGAGTGTTAAAAGGCACAGCGCCTAAAATGGGAAACGACTGCTCACTGGAATACTAAGCTGATGCCGAGTGCAGAAGCTTGCTCATAGAACAAAGGCAGTGTATCATAAATCGAAGTGAATGAAGCATTCTACGGTTTCCTGGTGAAGCGGCAGGAGCCGACGGCAAGACAACAGTTAGAAGGTAGAACTTGAAGCGGCCTGCCAACAGTTCCCCACCTCCTTCAAACGAGTGACTAGTGAGTATTGGAAGAAGGACTCATGATGGTGACTTACTTGGGAGTAGGGATGTGACTGCACGTTTCTGCAGGAAAATGTGCATTCAAGTATTCCGGCCTCTACTGACTCTTGAAGACACAATAGCGCACTTGAGAGTTCCTGGCAGCTACTGATGCTTAAAGTCGAGGTAAAGAGTCCACATGCCTCACTTCTTCAATAAATTCGAGGTGTGACCCCCTGCAGCGCAACGCTACGACGCTGAATCACTTTGGTCCCCAGTGCTCTGCGTTCCGAGACCTCAGTGTTACATTCCTCCTCGTTGAATTCGTGGACCAAAATCACGGGTAAATGTATGATACTAGCAAGCATTCAAATAGCCACTGAGTAGCACAGGGTAACAGAAAAGCTGTGAATGGCCCGAGATAGCAAAGTGGATTCAAACGCTCCCGGTGGCACGGTTTCTGCTGAACATTCGCCAGTTGATACACATTCCATAAAGAAGAAACATAAATGGCTGCTACGCCGCATCTTGCTCAAGTTTCAAATGCTAATGTTTCGTTTTCTGTTGAAGAGCTCAGCACAGGAGGATACGGGATGCATAACGGCTCAACGCCACTCAATGCCACTGAAATGGAGCGTGATAGGCTCAAATGTACTGCAGCACTTCCTCGAGGTACTTCCTAGAGAATTTCAAACAAATAAACGCTTACGCATTAAAACTTAACTAATCTGTTTATGGAAAGAGAACCTGCTTTGTCTCGAGTTGCGCGCCTGGAACGCATGGGGCTGCGGGAGGTCAGCCCTTGATCTGATCTCTGTGAAGACGATAGCTGGTGCGGACCTTCTGCGGAGTTGAATTGTTCTTGATTTCTTTTTCTTGTAGGTCCATGTGTTGGCTGCTTCATTTAGGAAGGAAAAGCAGATTGAGGCGTCCAATTCGCACCACGATGGTCTGCGCGGGAGAGCGCTCGCTCTCCCAGGGCATGGCCACTCGGCCGAAGCTTCTGGCCTTCTACATAATTACCACTCTATTTTTAAACATAACGACGCCGGCCAAAGGTGCTTTTAATTCTTCCAGCGGCTTTCAGGGACCTGGGGTAGGCCGTGCCTTGCCGCCCGTCGACCCGAATGCCCGTGTTAACGCGCCATGGAACCCATTGCCTGCACCTGTCAACAGTCAACAGAATACTGTCCCGGCTTATGATGGCCATGTTACGCATCACGAGCACCCGCCACAAGATGCAGCGCCGACAGCGGCAACGGCAGTTCCGTACCCGGGAGCCATAGGGGAGCAGAGCGCCCGCTTAGGCGGGCCTGCTCTTGGATTTCCAGCCATGGAGCCACTGCGGACACCTTATGAGAAGCACATGCCTTTGTTGGGTTCATATGGCCAGTTTGGCCCGTTACGGCTTGGACCTCAGCTTCCATTTCAGCCTCCAACTGTGCCCCAGCCTCAGCTGCAAATGCAGCCCCAGTTGCAGCCCCAGTTTCAGCCCCAGTTTCAGCCCCAGCTGCAGCAGCCATTGCAAAGCCAGTTGCAGTTTCAAACACAACCCCAGCTACAACCTCAGATGCAACCGCAAGTGCAGCCTACAACGCAGCCACAGGCGCAATCACAGCGTCAGGGTCCGATTGTGCTCTCAAAGCTGCGGACAGGGCGGACTGGGGTGATATCGACTGTTTTCGGAAAAGTGGATGGAGATTTGGCGGCGCTCGCGAAGCAGGAGAGGCCGCAAGAAGCTACTTATGGGGCTTTCGACGAGAAACAGGGAGGTGCCCCTCGCAGGGCACAGGGGCAGAACGTAGCAGTTAGTTTTGCGCGGCTGTCCGACGGAACAGTACCCAACAAGCACCTCTCATCAGTATCCAGGAACAGTGGTCGGTCAAAAAAACCAAACCCTCGCCGCCGTTTCAGTCCTTGGAGAGATGCGCATTCTGGCGAAGTACAGCTAGTTGCAGTCGCTGATGTGACCTTATTTCAAAGCCGTAAGCCTTGTGACGGCAGCAGGTACAGCCACCGCAAGTGTGCGCTACCAAGTGCAGCTTCACATGGTTTTCTCATTTTTTCCCGTAGACAGACCGTATACCAGTTGGACTTAGCATGATGAACTTCCACGTTTACTAGTGCACAGAATCACGGATTTTTTCCTGCTGCGGTGTGTTCAGTGTGCATTGGGGAGCCCAGCCGGCGCGATCCACGGATGCCGTGCGGCGCAGCCTACCCTGGCATAGCGACTCTGGCTCTGTACCTCTCGTCAGGCCCAACAGAAGTGGAAGTGGATTGGCGTTCGAGCTCTATCGCCCCGCCCAAGCGTCCCGTGGTGCTGCTATCCACGGCTGCTAGGGACGGTGTTGACCGCACAGCGGATTTCGTTAATGCTCTTTTGGAACGGGCTTGGCTGTACAGTGGCAGAGATGAACACAGTGACTCAGCTGTTGCGAGTGCACGATGGGGCGCTGGCGCTTTTGGCGCCTTCTCAAGGAGCACGGCAAGTGCGTTTAAGTTTGCGGCTTGTGAATTCGGCTTGTCTAATTGAAGATAACTAGAATTATATGCATTGCTCATACGTAGGACCATTGGCATACTAGTTGCACGCATAGGCACGCAATCGATTTTTGGCGACAGAGCACGCAGCTTTGGATTTTCTTCGTGTCTGAAGTCGTGTGACGTGTGTTGCGTGGACTACGTAGGTCGCGAGACGCAGGCTATCGTTAGTGTATTAGATGGATTGGTAGGAGCCAGGATGCAGCCAGGGTCAGCAGGCCGTTTCTCCAAGATTATGTATCTTGGCTGCTCTAGAACTTCGTAAGTTGCGTTGAGCCTTGCCGCTAATAGGTACAGAGGAGTACATCATAGCTTAGCCCGAGTATGGAGAGCCGAATGTTTGGCTGTATGGCCTTGGGGCGCCTCTCAACTCTGTTAAGTGGGAAGAGTTGTGCGGTTATGCGGCTTTTGTGCATTGTGGTAGGGAATACTCCACTGTCGCGTCTATTCTGGCCGCTGACCCCGGTAGGTTGCTTGGTGCCTACTTGACCATTGCGGCGGAGGTGAACAGCACCAGCAGGAAAAATCGGGGAATAAACAACAGACACGTACGAGAGCGAGGTCAGGAGTTCATATTCAAGTACGCAAATAACACTTGCCGGATAATCCATCTGCACAATTGAAGTGCACATTATTTCACTCTCACTCTCATCATTAACAATTTACATGCACAGTTGCTTTGCTGTTTGAAGCTGATGGTTTACTGTGATGCGGGCGGTCATGCACAGGCGTGAAAGCAGAGTTGCGAGGGCAGTCAGGTTGGATTTCATTGTCACGATCTCTGGAGGTCATTCTGTTGAAACGACTGTGCCTCAAGTGCCTGCGGAGTTACGGTTGGCAGTGGGCAGCGAGATCGGGAAGCGTTTAAGAACTGTTGTCGACTGCTATTTGCGTGATGCCCTCGACAACCACAGCCCATTAGCAGATAATCCGTTGTCTGCAGAAATGCCAATATTATTTGTCCAAATTCAGAAAGTTCGGTTGGTCCGAGGCTCTTCTGTCCAGCCCCAGCTTATTGGAGTCGAGCTACAGCCACACACAGGGGATCCTATGACAAACCTCGGAGTTCCCATCGTGCTGTACACGTAAGAATGCGGGATCCTTCATTACTTGTATGACCCCCGTAAAGCTAGTAGGCTTAGGGTAAAGGATTGGGACGTCCAACAATGTAAGGGTGCGATAATATGGAGTGGCCTTAGCTTTTAGGTTACAGAATGTCCAGCAGAGTTTGTGACCGTGTTTGGTGCAGGACTGCTATTGGTGCGTCACTTCAAGCATATATTGTGGGACACTTGAGAAGTTCTGCCCTGACTAAAACCATCCGCCAGGTACTTTCCGGTGTCTGGACCTTTCCTGCCAGTTTTTGACACTTGTTGATCGCACTCCCGCATTAGTAGTGAAGTTCTGTCCGGAGGTAGTACAGTGGCCCTTTCTTCCTGGTGCGGTTCCCTTCTCACTGAAGTTGCCTGGGGTGTGCCTGATTTTTGTAGACTTTGATTGACGCGAGATCTTTGGGGCCACTGCACCAGTCGGCTCTTGCTGGGCACGTGACGGCGATGCGAGAAGATATGAAACGACTTCATGACTGGCTTCGGCGCGTGGGCCCCACATGGCCGATAACTACCAGCATAGGGAATTTGTCGGGTCTGTTTTTAAAGTCACCTGAGGAGGTGGCGGAGCGACAGGAGCAATGTAGAGCGGCTATCAACTCTCTGAACCTGCCGGCAGGTGACCCCATGTTGAAATACGCGGATCTTTTTTGTCAGGTATATCCTCAGACGTACTTTTTACACTTAGCAGGAAAGGAAGAGGTAGAAGCTTACAGTCTGCGTATAGGGTTGATTCTTCGCCAGCTACTCGGGAGCGGCAACATAACACATGATGCTGACGAGCACACAAGCTACCCTCTGAGGTACTATCGCGAAGCTATGGGGTCGCACCAGAGGCGTCTTTCGTCCCACGGAGATGATTCGGGCGATTTCGACTTTCAGCAGTACAAGGGGGAATGGGCTTTGGGGGGTCCTCTAGAAGATGCCCTAAGCAGGCAGAGCAGGATAGATGCAGAGTCGGACGATCGTCGAAGCACCTCCTCACCAAGAATTGGGGAGGGCGGGTTCATTACTGCAGATGACAGCCATTCTCCAATTCTGGATACTGTGGAAGATTCTTCAACTCTGCAGGAGGCTGGGAAATTGTCAGAGCCATTTGGTGCAACTACACGCACTACCACAGAAGCCGCTGTCTCTGCAGACCACCTGAACCCACGAGCTGCGGAGGGTTCAGGCGAAGCAACTCAAGGATTTGCAAATGATGCCGCAGGACGTCATTTTGGGGAATCTGATTCAACCAGACCCATACAGGAGGCGCAAGACGAAGCAGGCGTGAAGGCCGCTGAAGGGGCTGCCACCGAACCTTTTATCGTAACACTGCGAGAAGCATTTGAGCACCAAGCTGCACAGCACCAGTATCTCTTGAAGACCCTTGCTGCCCAAGAAGAACAGCGGAGTCGCATGCAAGAGCCGCAAAAGCAGACATCGCAGCTACAGCAAGAGCAAGAACATTCTTCACGCCTCAAGGGTATGGAGGAAGACCACAACAGTCACACGAGTCGGCACACGGCGGGCACGGATTTATCCGAGCCTCCTGGTGCCCTCACACCACATGTTGAAAAACCGATGGAACATGCAGCTATCACCTTGCCTTCTGTTTTTCCTGGCATTAATATTGCTCATGAAAGTGATACTTCAACTAAGCGGAAGCTGCACGCGCAGAGTCGACATGGGGAAGGCAGTAAATCTTACCACGGGAGGGTAGCTGGAGATGGGCTGGACTCTTACCAAGTTAGCAGCATGCTCGAGGAGCGCTACGGAAGCCTGTTCCTTAACATCGCTGGATTTCTTTTAAATGAAACAACACTTGAGGACCTGATAATGGTTGCAGAGTGGCATGTCAACCCAACTGCTCACTCTGACTTGTGCAGAGAGCGCAAGTTCGCCCTGTTTCTTCTGTGCCGAGATTCAGGTGAGTTGCTTCACTTTTTCGCTATGCTTGATCTTCTAGAAATATTGAAGCGGTTCGAGCTGGGCAGAAGCCGTTTGCCTCTGGGGTATTTTACTCAAGGCGCACTGCATGTGTGTCATTTCACAGCAATTATATATGCATCGTTTACTTCTTCAGGGCGGTTCCGTCTCGCGGGATGGCCTACACAGCCAACGCATCATCATTACGACAGCTCTCTAGTCACGTACGACGCAGATGCTGGACGTGAAACGTGGCAACAAGCCTTGCAAGGCCTACGGCAGTTCCAAAGGCTTTTCCGCCCGCGCATCTAGCACGGTGGCGATTCTGGGGGTCGTATGAGATGATACGAGACGCGTTTTTGGAAGACACAGGAGCACTCTTTCACGACGACGAACTCAAACGCACCCTGGAAAAATGCACCACGCAGGCATTTCACATTTATATGCATTTCACATTTCCCTTACCGGGAATCCCGCTTATTTGTCGTTTTGTTGACAGAGGAAGTTTAATTTATGGCATGCTGAAAGCTGTTGTCACGTTGCGCTTTTGGCCAGCTGTCGAAGTTAGGACGCTGTTGATTCCATTCGTGCCTTGTGAAGTCTCATCTTCCTGAGACCAAAGTACGAGGCCAACAAGACGGAAGTGCTTTTTTATCTTCTCGGGATGGCTGCTGATTCGTCGTTCGACATAGACAGTCAGCAACGCAGTCACCCCCTGCAGTTGTTATTTAACTGGCTCATCTCCATATACTTTTTATCCACCTGCAGCTGTGGTTCATTATGCATGCTGTTAAATGCCCTCCATCCATTGAGACACGGGCTGCATTGAGACACGGGCTGCCGGTGGGGGGAACTATAGCTGCCTCCTGGTCGTTAAAATAATCAAGCAGGAGCAAGTTAGAACGAGCAGAAGATGACAGGAGATGGGTTTATGGATCCACTGTGTGTATGATGGCCAAGGAGATTGACTACATAGAATTCACACGCAGGCTTTCTTCACTGCTGAGCACTTTTTATTGTCTATGGTTACGATCAAATACTAGGTAGTTTGGTATAACATTTACGAACGCGCAACAAGCATGATTGGCAATGACAGGTCACGAATTTTACATATCTCAAAAAGATCTTCTGAGCCTTTCCGCGCCTTCGGTATGCTAGCAGCGTGGCCTGTCTGCCGACTGCAGGCATTGAATTGAATACGCGAACCGTACCCACGTTATACTGTGGGCCTGATAATCAGGAATTGGCCACCTCAGCATCCCTTTTTGATAACTAGCCAGAACTAGCTAACTAGCTTCAAGAAAATGTGGATTGGTCTAGTCAGGCGTCCGTGTGGACCAGTCTACCCACATCTCTCAAGTTGGCTTTCAAGAGCGAAAGAGCGAATAAGTGAAATCCCAGCTATTGGCCTGTCTACAGTGATTCGTTCTCTTTTATCTTGTTTTTTATCTGGAAAACATGTTTTGGATTCGATCTTTTAATTTTCTTTCCTGAATCGTGAGCAATACGGGGCAGTGCCTATCCACAGGTACCAACGCCCTGTCTCGGTGACCCCACCACAGGACCGCGATAGAGTCACCGACCGCTACAGTGCTCGGTAGCTCCATAGCAGCCCCTCAGTGTCCCAAAGTGATGGTATAAACTTCAAAAATAGTTGCGAAAATTTTAACATTTTGAGCATCAAGGTTATCGTTTGGGGCGGAATTTTTACAGGTGCTATCGCTTAAGGTGAGCAATCTGACTGGCGATCCCAGTCGCTCCCAAATCGACCATCTTAACGTCAGCCTTTGTCGAGGTGCCGCTTCTTGTTTCTTCAACAAGTGTTTTTATTATTGTCCTGATGCAAATGAAGCAGTGGGCGCAGCGCCAGTGCAGTTCCTAAGAAGGTTGGGAGGAGCTCGGTGCGCCATGTGCTCACGCAAAACATTCACTCCACCTGTAGCCAGTGCAACTGATTGAAGTGATAAGCCCAGGTAATATCAATACTAGGAGGGAGCTGGCCCACTTGTTCTCCCCAGTGTAATTGCTTTGCAGGAATTAGAGGCCCCGCCTAAGCACGTCGCCAGATATGAATGCTGTGTCCGTGTTGCACGTGCAAGTAGAATAAGGTAATTTTGAGGTATCTCTCTTCGCCTGCTTTCCTCTTCTCCTGAATAGCGAGAAATGGTTGCAGGCCGCGCAGCGCGCGCGCTGTTGCTCACTGCAGCAACAGCTGCATCTGTGGCTTCCCAAGCAGAGCCGGTTTCAGACACTCCTGTAAGCCCTCTTTCCCGAGGTGAGTGCACTAATCGTCTGGGCATGCCCTTCTCTACCAGCTTTGCCATAGAACAATTTGGAGTGACGTCCAGGTTACAGCCATCGGTGTGCTTGTTTCCTGCGTTGCTACCCCAGACCCTTCTGCAGGGCCTCAAGCGAAAGACGCAGCTCCACCACAACGCTTCATCAGTCCCAGCTTCGGACAAGATGACAAATATTTCTCAGACTATGCTGGTGAGGCGTGGTTCTGAAGGCGATTGTGGAGCTCGCTACGCCTGGTTCAACACAACGTGCGTCATTACTGCGTGTGTTTGGCATGCCTCTACAGAGCTGAGGGACGAATTTTTTAGCTCAAATGAATATGAGACCGTCGTTGGTGAGCTTGTCGAAAGGCTTCCAGTCGATGAAGAGACCTACGACTTCATCGTTGTTGGTGGCGGAGCTGCTGGGTGCGCCGTCGCTGATGCCCTCTCTCAGGGTGCGTCTTTGAGCTTCATCTTCAGAAGAAAGCAGCATCTTGCCAAAATTGAGTGCCGATGCACTCTCCAAGCAGTGTTTGTTAATGGGACCTACGTGTGGGCCCTTGTAAGAAGGGCGTTTCCTCCATGCAGGGTCTACTTCTCAATGCTGCAGCAGCTGCTGTCCTTCCTGCGGAGTGCAGGAGGAAAAAAGGTCCTCCTCTTGGAGCGTGGGATGCAGCGGACGAAAGAGACCACCCCAAATGCCATGAGTGCCAAAGGTGCAGGTAAGGATTTTTCGTTTTCTCAGTGAAGGTGACGTGGAGGCTGGCACGTAGCCGCTCAGTTTTCCAAATTCATGTTGCGTCGCCCACCGTCATGCAGTGCACTACGACGGGACAGCATATTGTCTAGGTATGCATCTGCTCAGGGATTGGCCTTGCTGACGCAACCATTTCTCAAGCAGTAGGAACAGTGCAAGGTGTTAGAACCTTCTCGGGTGCCCTCATGGGGGGCGGCAGTGCTGTCAACCTAGGTATAGTGATTGGCGAGACAGAGGAGTACTTCAAGGAAATGGCTCGACAATTCCCAGGTTATAACATTGATTACCCAAGGCTTAAGCGGGTGAGGCTTTTGCAGTAAATAAGGTGAAATACTGAGAGTCTGAGGTTCGGCAAGCATAATGCAGCTTCACATCCAGTCATTGTTTCAAACAAAAGCGAAATTTCGGTCAAACAAGCAATTGTGAAGCTCTCAGCTGAATATATCTGTCGAAAGTTCCAGTTGCGCGTAGACAGTGCACTTGTTTTGAGCCAGGCCTATGATTACGTTGCTTGGAAACTTGCAAGGGCAATGCCAGTGCTTCCTCCATTCGGCCTCGCTTACAAAGAGGCGTTGACAGCCACGGGGTACAAGAACTACGGAGATGGTGACTACCCAGAGCCTAGCCTCTATGTTCAGCCAGGATATCAGTGGGTTGGCTACTCTCTCTTCGATGCTGGGAACAACTTCCAGCGAAATGCATCCGATGCGCTTCTTGAGAGGCTCCCCAACCTTGTTGTCAAGACTCGGCACACTGCTAGGGTCAGGAAATACCACTGAAGCACCATCACACACGCACTATGGCTGGCTGAGGGGCCGCTGAGCACGGCCAAGAAGCCGTATTATGTCGGACTACAGTATGTTGTTATCTGCAGAGCATCACTTTCATAGATACAGACCACGGAAAGACCGCAAACTGCGTCGTTTACCGGCCAACAAAATACCAAGATATTAGGCCTATTGGAGATTTATGGAGCCTTTTCCCTTCATCTGCCGCAGGTATGCCCACATATTGGGAAATCCTGGAGGTGCTGCTGCACAGACTCAGAGTAAAATACTTGTGAATCTCTGATCATTTGTGCTTAATCAAGAATGACCCTCTGCGGCTGTCTGCAGACTGGGCACCATGGATTGGCACTTTCTTGGAGCCCACCTCAGTGCTAGTCAACGCCGGTGTTAGCGATCCAACCAAAAAACTACGTCGCGTATGCCTTTCAAATCCAGGGAGTGGTCGGATCGTCGTCAGCGGTGGAGCAGTGAATACTCCTCTTCTGCTCTACCGATCAGGTAATGTCTCAAAGTTGGTATATTGCACAGCAGCTTACTGAAAGTCCTACCAGATGTCATCAAGTTGTATGCATGAACTAAACCAGTGAGCCTGTAGCGTGAGTGGCGATTCGTTTTGCAGGAATCGGCCCAGCAATGCAACTTAAGCTGCTCAAAGTGCCCCAAGTCCTGGATAGCCCTGCAGTTGGGTCGGCCTTCTCCGACAGAGTATTCCTTTCGATTCCAGGGTTTCTGAAGCACTACTCGGATTCCATTCCACTAATTAACCCGAGCAAATCACTGCGTCGCTTGCAGGCCAACGAAGATACGGGCTCCAAAAAGGTCAACAGACTCCAGCTACTTTCCAGGCCAGCCTTTGAGCCCATACTTACGCAAGAAGAACTTGAGAAGGCAATCACGCCAGAGGTCCGGGAGGCTATAAACAGGCTAATGAACCAAGAAGTGCCTGACGAGATCATTACTGTCGACGAAGATGACAGCGCCGTCAGCAATCGCTTCGAACCTCCCGTTTTATTGCCAGACTTCCTCTTATTCCCTGGGGTGCTGCAATACCTTTCGCCGGCTCTCCAGCCTCGCGTGTGCCAGTTCATGGGGCTCAAGTACACTGGTCCTCGCTGCAAATCAAACGGGTAAGTTGCCGAGCTGTTTTCCAGTATGGTTGATTTTCTAGCTCATGGCGGAGCTTTGCAAATGGGCCCCTGCTGCATCTTTGTTTTAATGCATTACTCACTACAGGATTAACGAGCGTAACCTCGGGTGCTCTTTGGTGACAATGGAGGAGCTCTCTGGAGACCGACTGGCTGAAGGATTTATCTATGCTTCACGTTATATGTTCCCAACTGCATTCCGCAAGGACCCAATTCTCGACGCTGTCACCGAGATTATCCAGTCCTGCTCTAACTACCGCTCTCCGTTCGGCATAATTCTCTTGAAGCCCCTTTGTGTGCTTGCTCAGCCGATTATAAAGTGCCTTAGGTGCGTAATATCATCCAATGCGCTTCGGCCACAGTTGCTGGTTGATACAGCGCGGCACGCTTGCACCAGGGTAGACACCAAGCACGAATGCAAATGTTGCAGGAAGGCTGTTGCTCCTTTCTACTTCACTTCGGAGCCAAAATCTCGAGGAAGCATTCGCCTTAAACCTACTGGCGAAGTTGTGGTTGATCCACAGTACCTTGTAGACGAGCAGGATCTTTTCGATGCAATTAGAGGCACTGCTACGTTGGTGGAGCAGCTAAATGGAGACAGTTACAGGTAAGCAGAAGTTAAGCGTTATCACACAGTTCCTATTCAAGAAAATTCACTGCAGAGCTCAGAGTAGGATCACGCCGATGTGCCGAGGGTGGTGACAGCAAATCTCTGCAGAGCTGAATCTAGGAGCAAATTGCCTCTCTGTCTGCTTACACAGGGGCATCATCCAAGAAAAGGGTCCCCAGTCGTGTCCGTTAGCAATTCTAAATGGACTTCTCGATATTCTTCTGACACTGGCAAGCACAACATCTCCTTTTTTGACCCACTCTTCGAACTTCGCAGAGATCCAAAGATATCTACAAGACCTAATTCCCCCAGAGTCCAGGCGCCTGCGTCGTCTGATGGTGGTGAACGAGGGCTACCGCATGAAGCCTGCGGTGTATGAGGACGAAGAAGGCAACGAATACGAAGACTACAGTGCATTTATTGAGAAGGACGTCGATGAGGCAAAAATTGAACGACTCGGCATCAAGCGCCGATTAGAGGCTGTCAGCGCTCCTTCAGGCGCACAGTTGCCATGTCTTCAGGCAGAAGAAATATTGGGTGCATTCTGCAATCATCTTGTATGCTGCCTTGAGAATGCGTTGTTCTTTTCACTCGCAGGTTGGATTTGATTTCGATTCGTACCGTGCTCACGTGGAACGCACAGATGAGTCTGCAAAGGATCCCTCCCTCCACTTGGGCACACTTGGCCGTCGCCTCGATGCCGAAGTTGAAAAAATCTTGGGCCCCGAAAAAATGGATCAGTTGAAAAAGCTTGCAGATTCGATAAAATCTGAACACGCTCTGAGGGCTTCCAAAGAAGACCCAGCCCTCAAAGAAGCTATCGAGGACTGCAGGAAACCCTGCACAAAAGAGGCCATTCAAAATCACACCTGCGCCAAGTCTGATGTTTGCTGCACTGCCTACGGCAACTCCAAATGCATGCGGCTTCCAGGCCAGCCTGCCTTCGCCGAACAACAAAACAAAGTAAAACAACCCTTCCACTGCTTTGAGCAGGCATCTCCACGCCGTACCAAATATCACACTTGCACCTAGGGTCACATTTTGCGCGCTTTCCCTTTAAGCCGCAGTTGTATAAACTAAATATTCTGCCGCTGGTGATATTTTAGAGTTGCTAGGGGCGTGTGCGCCTTTGTAGGAACCTTATACGAGCGCGGACGCGGCAGATAGCGGGGGCGCCGTCAAAAAGGAAGAGTTTCTTGCCCCCTTCTTTGGCCTCAACACCGTGTCGGTCGCACATGCTGATGATGAGCAGTGGGCTGCAACGTATCCGCCAAGGCTGCCAAGTAAGCTGTTGCAGGGCCTACTTAAATTTGGTAATGATTGTCCTGCGAGTAGAAAAGTCATAGTTGGCAACTGCGGCGCTCCATAAATGGTAACATCATCCCGGATTGCTAATAATGATCCAGCGAGCTCGATATTTTGTCTTTGAAGCACTTCTGGATGCGCTGTATCCTTTTACAGGCGTCCAGAATCCTAAAGCACTAGCTAAATTTGCACTGACGTACATGACCAGCATTGGTCACACTTACGGCAGTGCTCCCATGGGCAGGGTGGTTGACGATAAGTTCCAGGTGAAGGGCGTCAATGGGCTCTCTATTGTGGATGCATCTGTGCTCCCCCAACTTACACGAATGAATCCGGTCTTTACCATCATGGCGCTGGGCAGGTGAGTTTAGACCCTAAACTTCGCGGTGTCTGTAGGGAACACTCCTGAGCTTGCCCACAGTGTAACATGGTCACTGAGTGTTTCTGCAGGTACGCTGGAGAGATGATGCTAGGGGAGCAATAAAGGTCTACTGGCCAGCGTTCTGCCAAGCCGCTTATGCGTGCTTCGGCCCGTTCTTGTGCTGTTAAATCTTCGAGGCACTGGCAAGAAGCCAGAGGGCCAAATATAGAGGTTTCAGATGGATCGTACCACCAGCAAAATTGCTCCGCAATTCTCCCATTTGGTAGTGCTCATCTTGCACTGCTCGCTACGGAGCAACTGACAGCAAATGTTCCTCTCTGCTGAGTGACCTGTACAGTTTGTATTTAAAGTTCTAACCTGTTCTGCATTCTTAATCTGCCACGATTCGGAGGGCGAGGCAAACCTTGATTTTTCCCGAAAACTCCAGAAATATCGGTCAGGCTAAAGTTCTGGCCACATTTGTTCGCGACGAGGCTTCATGTTGAGCCCTCACATTCTAGCTGCTTTTTGGGTATCTATTTCAACCTCTAGGCAGTACACGTTGAACCTATGCTGGGTGTCTGGTTTCCTAGTACTTGATTCCTTGATGAGACCTGAGAATACCGTGGAATAGTTACACTGTGATTTCGTAGACCACTCAATTGTGTCCATTTTAACCACTGTTCTACAAAGGAATACAGTTGCTGAGGCAGCCAGTTGCTACTTCGCAGCTCGCCTTTTGCCGAAATCAAGGCATCATCTTCATCTGAATTACACATTTCTTTTCAGTGTAAATCTAGCGTCTCACATAGTAGCAAAGCAGTTGCTACGTTCGCTGTCACTTGATCCTCTCATCCTCTCTGTTATGCAACTCTCAAGGCTTCATCCGATTTGGCCATAAGGAGATGATGAAGTGTCACCCTTCGGACGAAAAGCGGGTATAGGGCTGCGTTTTCGAATAAGAAAATATTTTCTGGGGGTCAGGTATCACAGCATGGCTGCCATTAGATGGCTTTCAAAGACAAGTCCGCGTGGCGTGCCTCGCTGCTGGCTTCTTTGGATCAGTGTTCCTGTACGAATGTGTTAGGGGCTAGTGCATGAATATAGTGCTTGAAAAAGTCACTGTATTGTTACATCAAGTCCTGATTTTGAACGAGCATGCTGCCAATGGTTTCACAACAGTAAGGCATCCGAAATGCTTGGCTCGTGGGACCAAGTACGCCTTTGGTTCACTTAATCAGCACTCTGTATCATGAGAAGCATGCGGAAAGTATGAATGGTTGATGTGTACAGCAGATGCTGCCTTCTTTCTCAGCAGTACGCACGGTCCGTTGTAGACGGTCCGCTGGTAGTGTGTCGCGACTTGTCGTCGCCCGAGCTGTTCGGCCTCAGTGGTTTCCTTCTTTTTACTTTGATAACAAAAGCATTTGACTAAAAGAGGTCAATAGAATCTTCTCCGTGAAACTGCGTTCACGAATTTACAGCAGCTTCTCAGGCCCCGGCCCGGGAGTTGGTGGGCCCCTCGTTGCAGGCCCGTTGCAGAATCGGTCTAAAGGCTATGCGATCACTTTTAAAAGTGTCTTTGTACTCAGCGCCTTTTATTTTGCTGTATCTGATCATGGAGAGGGCTTAAAAAGCAGCATGTACTTCAACAATGCTCCCCTGTACCAGAACGGCAGACGCAGCAGGGCGACAACCAAAGTAGCACACACCTATGGAGTTGATGAAATTGACAAGAAATACGCAATCATATTCCATGAAACGTGTCTCAACAAACTCAATTCGTAGCTGCAGCCTTTGCAGGGCTCGTCGCATATTTCCTGCCGCTGTATAACATTACTCTGCTCTATTCACTAAAGCCAGTTCACTGAAGCTTCTACGCAGAATCAATGGGTAACAATCCCTCTCACCCAACCGTACCTCTCGATGGATACTTGGCTGTTCGGGCTTCTATCGAGGCCCGCTTCTCCTCCGCTTCCTGTGACCGCCAAGCAGCGGTGCCCAGAGAGTGCTACAGCACAGCAGGCGGGAGCTTGCAGGCAGTGACTCACAGGGAGCTCCAGAAGCTTCAGAGGAAGCAGATGAGGCAGGAAGTAAGGTCGTCTCGTGGGTCAAGCCGGGCCAGCGCCGCAGTGCTAGTCGAGCAGGTGATGGCGGGGACCCGACTGCCTGCAACCCTCAGCATAGCGGAGACGACAGACACTAATTCTGACGGGGCCCCCGATGAATTTGAAGCATCGGAAACGGCGGATGAGATGCTGAGGGGGCTTAGTCCATCTTTTACAAGGGCAAAAGCCCCTCACGTGAGGGCGCAGTCGCCACTGCCATTTCCCTCCATGTCGCATTGCTCTCCTACGGTTTCTAGAGCAGCTGAAACGCTGAAGCAACAGAGCTCGGAGCTCAGCGACTGCGGAAGAAGTAGGGGCAGCGATCCCGACCCTTCCTGCAGAGCAACGAGACTCTCCGCCGGGCAAACCTCTCCAAGTTCCACGAGCAACGTGCAGCCGCCAACGCCGCAGCAGCAGCCGCAGCCGCTTTCTGCAGACCTGACTCTGCATGCAAATGATGACCGGCATCAGCGCAGGGCGTCGGACAGGGAGACGACGGAGGCTTCTGAGGGCCATACTGCTGGGCCGCTAGAGGGCCATGTAACAGGCCCACCAGAGGGAAGCTCTATGCGGTCCCCAGCTGAGTGTCGTGCAGCGGAGGATCTTCATGGTTCCGCCACTCGTCCTCTTGAAGGTGGCGTCAGGAATGTTGGAAGGGAACGCGCTGCTAGGGGCCGCGAAGGGAGGGGGGACGGGGCTCTTGCTGTGCAGATTGAGGAAGCTGAGATGTTTTGTCCGTTGTCTCCCAACTCGGCCTTGGGGTCTTGCGTTCCTACGACCGTTGCCGTCGAAAGAAACCAACAATCAGCAAGGGAGAGGGAAAACACGGCGTCAGTTGCCCTGCCTTCACGCGACATAACTGCGACGGGCAGCGTGTGCTATGGTCCTGCATGCAACCATTCCCCGTTTCTTGAGGGAAGGGCTCTGCAGACACTGCTGCCGCTACTTCTGGGGCCCTCTCTGGGGACCGCCATGGGTGTGTGCGTGCATTGGTTTATGAAGATCAGCAAGTACGCACACTGCCATTTTACAGCGCTATGCTGCAGAATGCAGAGGCACACGCTGGCCTGTTTGATGGCGCTTTCTTGTTTCAGCTGCTTGCTCATTTACGAACTTTCTCGCCCCTTTGCCTTCCAGGTGCTCCTTGTGCTGTCCCGCTGATTCATGGTCATTTATTATTTGCTTGTTTCTCCCTTTGTTTGCTTGTGTGTATCCTGTCTGTCTCCTCCGCAGCGGCCTTGCTGATATGTGCTCTCCTATTACTCGAGACTTTGAGGAGTCGTATGGCAAGTATTTTTCGCCCGTCATCGCCACGCTCAAACAGCAGGCGCTGCACACGACAGATGGGAAGGGTGCCAGATTAGATTGGGTGATCACAGCAAAGGTAAAATTCGCTGTCCGTTTTTCTTTTAGGTAGTCCGTTGCATGGAACAAGTATGAGTGTTGTATCAAAGTGTTGGAGCTGCATAATAGAGTGCTATGTATTTGCACAGTAAAGTTGCACGTTGCAGAGAGTCTAGATGTGTTGATCTACGTGAGAATCGGCCCTCATCTAGAGTAATTTTGCGGGGGACATATTACACCCGAACTTGGTACATGGCCAGACAAGTTGTTTTCCGTTGTACTTTTAGGTACTGCCGCCCGCGGCAAATAACGTGCTGTCTCTGGGGTACTGTTTCAAGTATCGTCATCTCTCTTCCACGAGAGACTCTTACGTATTCCCAGATCTCACAGGAAGTGAGCAGGCGACTGATTCTGCTTGTCGCTGGGCAGACGCAAGTCCTTCTTCCTGGAGGTCAACGTTGCGAGGCAGGCAAGACGAAGGACAAAGTCCTGTGGCTATCGTCCGGCCACCTAGCAGGGTACGACACGAAGAGGATATTAATATTAACAGAGAACCAACTAGAGTTGCTAGGCCGTCAGACTTCAGTTTCACAAGCGATAGGCGGAGCTAGTTCAAATTTTCCATGGTCCGGTTTACAGCGGGTTTCGTATTCCGCATTTCCTTTGCATTAATTGCACTATTGCTGCGTGGTTTGTTTTTCATCTGAACTTGCTTAGGGTAGTGGCACGCCCACAGGGCAGTGCCGGCGCGAGGTACCAGTCTTCTCAGTGGCTGTTGCCCAAGCGGGAACCAGTCGACGGATGTGGCTTCATCGTGACCTCTGCCGGTTCCACGGGGATGAGACGGGACAGGCCGTGTTGACTCACCTAGGCCCAGTGTGCGTAGGGGACTTAGTAGAGGTACCTGTGGCGCTGTCCAATGGCATAGGAGTTGCCGACGTTTCCACCATTAGGTGGCTTCCTCTGCGCGTCACTAGGAGAGCATCGGGGTCCCTTACAGGGTCGAAGGCGTTGGACGCGGCCTCGAGAGGACTGTATGAGGGGTGCCCACTGGAAATACAGTATGGGGAGTGGTTTGACAGCGATCAATACCGTCACATGACCACTGAAAGGCTGAAACGGGCGGGTGAGTTCTTGCTATTTTGCTGCTTCATGTCAGATAAAAAAGAGTGAATGCGCGGATCTGTGTTCAGGTTTTGCATCGGCTGGCGCTTTTGCCATATGTGAAACTCGCAGCGATTCGTGCGCTCTGCTGTTTGCAGAATGCCTGGAGCCAGAGCTACATCACGTGTCCACTTCTTACTCAGGCATAGATGTACTTGTGAGGCGATCCCTTTATAAGGCAGTACGAGAAGGTGAGAGGTGCTCGAACAACCACACTGAAGCGTGAACTCGCAGCTCTGAGGCCTTCAAACCGTACCGCTGAAGAACCTGTGCTGAAGCAGCCTGCTTATCTGTGCGATTGCAGGCTCAGTAGGAGCGGCAGCGCAGCGCGCTTGGGGTTTACAATGTAAAGTGCTGCCCCCAGACTCTCCAGTCGTTTTCCCGCTTACTCGAAGAGGGCTGCTCCACGACCGGTCTACCAGCCTTCAGCTCCGCGTGGTAAGTTAATATGCCGTACCTTGCTGCAACTGCCTTATGCGTGTATGGAAGTATGAACATCCAAGCATATCCGTCAGTGTGTCCAGGGGTGCCTCACATCATGCACACGAACGGTATGTGTGTGCGCACGCTCATAGACACACGGTTGTGCGCTGTTGCTACCTAGGGCGACTCCTTAGAGTACTACTTGACCATTGGGGGTGCCAATTTTTGATGAAGACCGTCCTGTTGATTGTTTCCTTTCCACAAACTGTTGGATAATTTACTGCTTGCGAGAAGCTTACGATTGCGAACTCGACAACACGTAGCTGCCCGTAGCATGTCAGTGAGCATTGAGAAAATCCAGTGTACAGTTTTAAACTCCCCAGATTTCGACAAGGGTAGTCACATTTCTAGGCTCGCCTTTGGAACCGCGTCACCAGTCTGTTGCCGTCCTTTTACCCACAGCCACGGCGCAGGGCAGTACACTTCTGTCTTTTCCTCGATTTCGCATCGTTATTTCGCATCGTCACTTGCTGAATTTGGCGAACTACTGAGTGCCTGCTGGACAATCAGCTGCCCATGTTCGACCACGGTCAAGGCGATGTTTCTCCCATACTTGAAATTACAGGAGCGTCCCAATGTTGCTGTTTGTTACATTAATACCTACTAGAGTGGTGCGGTCAGCCTGTTCTCAGTGGTGTACTAGGATCTCATTTCCGGCTTGCTTTTTAGTGTGGGAACATAACCAATCTGCAGCAGCGTACCCAGACTAACAGTGGCTTTTGCACAAAGTGGCGCTGGAGCAACTTCTAGCAGCTGCTCTTGCTTCTCACACATTGCCGCTACAGCACTTAACCCCATGCAGATGAACACCCCGCGTTGGCTTGCTTCTCAAAGAATACTGAAAACAGAACTGCGAGGTGCTGTCAAGCTCCGCCCGTAATGCCGAGAAGGGGGCAAAGAGCCCACGAAGCCGTCTGTATATAGATAGATGCCCGGATACGTACTTAATTGCACAATGCAGCTCGGCTGCACGTCATAAACTCTCCTAAAGTTCCGGAGCAGTTACTCTCACTTTGCGCTCATATGTTCTGGCGCCATGGTTCTGGCGGCAGCACAGGCAGGAAGCTGCATTGCTGGTACTTGGGATTAGGACTGATTTTGCTGCACTCTATCGAAGCGCACGCATTGAAGTTTCAGGTGTCACGTCCTGTGATGCAAACCCCAGATTAAAGTCCCTCTTTGGAAAGCAGTTACTCATTCATTTTCCCCAGGGGGTTCACGTGCTAACTCTGCGCTCGCGTTGGGTTCAGTAACCGCGGGTTCAGTTAATCCCTCTGCAGGGACGGGGTCGCCTGCTGATGCCTCAGGAGGATGCGGCTCAAGAAGCTGCAGCGTTTGCATCAAGTCGCTCGCCCTGCAGCACATGCACCGAGCCAGGTCGGCCAATGGACGCTACACACTTTGACCTGGAGGCAACATATCCATTTGTTGCAGTACAGGACGAACAACAAATGAGCATGCGGAGAAGCCCAACAATGGGTGCTTAAGACCACTGTGTGCTTGCACCCAATCAATTCGACACATGGTGGGCCATTACCTGCCAATATATATCATGTCCGATATACGGTTAGTCAATCCTGTCTCCTCCAAGTTCACCTGAAGGCACGACATATCGAGGCACTTACTAGTTGACGGATCAACCCTGTAACAGTTCAAAATATACTGCTCCGCTGAATTGTGTTGATGGCCTTTTCAAGGATCCTTAAGGCTCTAGGAAGTCCCTTGGGTGCCTTTTTAGAGCTTGGTACGGATTCACTGAGGTTCTCTTCACGAGATCGCAGCTCTCAGCCGATCACTGCATCCTGAATTCTAGAGCTGAACTTTAAAAAAAGATGCAAAGCTCACTTCAATTACTTTAGCCCCCTTCTTCATGGCTCTATAGGGTATATCTGAGGCCGGCTGGACAGTTGCCGAAGTGCCCACCACCAGCATCAAATCACATGCGTCGGCTTCCTTGTTCGCCTCCCGCACAGCTTTAGAGGGGATGCCTTCGCCGAACAAGACGGCATCTGGTTTGAAGTAGCCGCCGCATCCGCACTGCACGTTACGCGCAGAACAATGCTAGCGGCCCATGCCTGCAACGCAGGTTGCTTGCAGTTCCTAATACGCTCGCAAGGGATTCTACTGCAGCTCTTAGTGTCCTGTCATGACCACTTTTTCTTTCTAGAGCTACAAATAAAAGTTACATCGTTCTTCTGAGCATCACTTATGTGCACCTTGGGAGGAAGTTTCTTTTTGAATGAAGGATTTCTTGCCATTTGCTTTGTTAGCTGCATCTTGGCGCCACACCGGTAGCAAGAGGCCTACAGCGAAGAACAACAGGAGAAAATCAGAATCACAAAAAGTGTAAAGAATGACAGAAGCAGCACTTCAACGTACACCGAGCAGAGTAACTAGTTGCCCACGGTTCCGCATATGCATATGCGATGGAACCACCCCGCCCTCCCTTGTCATGTGTCTGCAACACAAGCTGCTCAGCAAACAAATCCTAACAGGTGCACTTGTTAGTCCAGGTAACACGCACGCTCATCAGGTTTCCATGGTACTCAATGACGCGCTTGCTGCCTGCATCCTGGTGTAGGTTGTCCACATTCTGAGTAACAATTGCCCTAACGATCCCCAAAGCCTCTAGCTGGGCCAAAGCCAAGTGAGCCCTGTTGGGCTCAGGCTCGCGCTCATTCAGGAACTCGTGCAGCAACTGCCATATTTTACTGGGCTGCCGCCAGAAGCCCCAGATGGTCGCGTACACTGCAGGATCGTACCTGAAACATAAACATAATCTCTGAAGCGAAGGAGGAGCACTAAGTACGTCAATCGCTAAATTTTGTCAATAATAATGCAATAAGGGTCAGTTTAGCAATCCTTACCGCTGCCACAAGCCATCAGACGGATCCCTGAAGGTGGGAATGCCGCTCTCAGCTGAGACCCCAGCGCCAGTCAGCGCTACTACGTACCTAAAAAAAAAAACAAAAGTAACAACAAGTACGCAATTAAAAGAAAACAGAATTCGGGCTCTACAAAGAGATAGCACAATCACGACAGATAACGAGAACGACAACTGGAATTTCAGACGCTCGTATCACCGAATGACAATTGCTATGTTGTGGCAGGATAAGAAAAACGGATGCGGGAAGAAACGTACGTAGCTTTGCGGAGTTCCTCCGCCAGCCGTTCAATGGAAATGTGCTCCGTGCGCTTTGGGCGCATGTACGTTAACCACTGGCCCATTATACTTTAACACGACCATCAAGTGCAGTTAAGCACATGCTTCATCAGCTGAGGCGGCGGAACGCATCAATGTGCCCACGCTGCAATCCCTGAAGAGACTCCGCACGTTTCGAATCTATCTTGCGCGTTTCTTTCTTCTACTCCGTAGCAGCTCTGTTGCTCTTGGCCATTTGCTTCCCTCCCCCAGCTGCCCTGCTTTTGCGGATTACTCGCTTCTATCTCTTCGGTTCTCTTTCACTCGATCTTCGCTGCGGAGCCCAGACGCTCCTTCTCAATCCTTTGTCGTTCTCTTTCTTGCCTGTTGAGCTCGGCAGAGGTCAACGGTCCGTTGCGTTGGTTTCCGCGTGCCAGGTCCCTCAAGAAGGCAAAGCCCCACACACCTACCGCCAAAGCGTGCAGAGATAAAAGCAGAAGTAACACAGCCTGTAGAAGAAGCGGGAATGAACTTGTAGAACCTTCGTCACCGCCTTCGGAGACCGAGAGGACCATCGCAAGACAGCTTAGTCACGGCGGCGCTTCACAGGCCCCGGAAAACAAACACACAGGCAGGTGATTCTTCTTGTTTTAGATATTTCTCGTCTGCCTGTAAAGAGCGACGGAAGCGATCTGGCGCAGCTTCAGCGAAACCTGCTGGCACTTGAAGCAAACGCAGCCCTTGCTGGCGGTACTGGGCACTTCAGTACGATTAAGACTAGTGTTGAAAAGGCGCATTCCGCAGTTTATTTAGTCATCCTGACACATCGTAGCTAGATTGTTCGTGTTTGTTGATTCTTACCTTGCATTTTGCGAACAAGACACCGGCGCTAGGCTTGGGGCTTGTTGTGATTGTGTGCGGCGCGCACATGCTCGGAATAAAGATGCTAGTTACATCTTTCTTTTAGATTGGATCTTGTCATTTATGCTCTTCTGTACTGAAGCTAGCCGCCAACGTCGGATCCGTGTGTATTAGGGTCAGTGCTGGTGTTGGCTGTCGTTGACACTAACACTGTACATGTATGTCTGCGCTCCTTCCAGATTTCCGTCTAACGGAATAGCTTAAGTTCTACAGTAATATTATTATTTGACTTGAATGTAAACTGTAACTTAAGAGAAATACGGAAGCTAGGCCACCAAGGGAGGTAGAAAAGTATGACCGAGCAAGCCAAAATGGCTGAATGTATGCGCCAGCGAGGAAGAATATATATGTACGAGAAGGCATCAAAGGATGGTTTTATGGGAGCCCAAGCGTCAATGTTGCATCGGCACGAGCAAGAAAACTCCCTGAATGTAGTGCTCCACATGGCCAGACGTTCGTGGGGGTTTTCTACCTTATGTAACAAAACTGTCTGGACTCTGGGCAGTATCACAATTGAGGCTCCATAGCGCAACGGAATTTAGCCGCTACGGCGTACGCACTCTATCCGGCTCGCCACCGAAACTTCCACAATGTGTCTCGACCGCTTTCAAATGATGTTTCAGGGGCAAGAAAGCGACAAGGTGAGTATATCACCATATCAGGAGTTAGCGCTTCATCGGCGTTGTCCCATGCGCAGAATACCGAAGCGGGGACACGGCGATGCACCAAAGAAAAGTCGAAGACTCTGATGCGTCCACTTCTCCTGACGAGCCTGTTCTTAAGAAACCGACGCACAGCAACCTGAGCTTAATCTTAGCCAGGTGCAGGACACTCGTTGCACTCCCCGCATATTTGAGCGGCGACAGAGCTGGTGACAGCTGCGCGCGAATTCCTGGAAGGATCAGTGCAATTAATGTTGGCAAAGAAAAGCTCAACCAGCGTTCAAAAAATTAGTAGGGCTAACAACTTTGCGGAAGGAAGCTGGGAGACCCTGAGCTGCTTTGTTGAGCTGCTTCAGGAAGGTACTGCCTCTAGCCGTGAAGAGTATAATGGTGAATAAGGACCATATCAGTCGAAACAGAGACACCCACAATGCCAGGTTTGCGGGAGTCCTGTATTCTCAGGGTCTTGCAATAGAGAGAATTCACACAAGGCGCCTGCTGGCAACAATTTTTGGAAACCAAAGCAGGCGTCTATTCAGTATCATACAGTGAGAACTTGGCTAGCAGGGAATCGTAGGAGCTACCCGTCGATGATCTTTGCTTTGCACATACCAGGGCGCAGTAACTTATGGCCATACTTAGTTGAACAGGCTTCTGAGATTTGTGCAGCTCCTTAAGTGCCTATACAAAAGAGCACTAATAATTCATAATAATATGCTTCATTCATTCTAGTTCGAGAGGAGTTGCATGCGTGCTGTTTAGAAGTATTGGGTGAGTAATGCCAACACCAGCGATCAGAAATGCGCACCAGGAATTTACTTGAGTTCCTACTGAGAATCCAAACGATAATCGAATGCTGTAGACCAATTTGAAAATTAGCTGTTGCTAGCTCCCTCTGAAGGGATGCAAGTAGCCTGCAGTCGTCTTAACTCGCTGATATTGTTACAAAAGATGTGTACAGAGTTGTAGCCCATTGTGTTTCGAGTATGGCTATGGAGCGGCCTAGCGTGTCACGCCACCTACTAAAGTGCAAGATAGCCTACAACTGCTTTAAAACTACTCTGAGCATAGTGGTATTGGACGCGAAGCATGGGTCCTGGAAAACATAAATTCGACCTTCTTACACTCTTGTGCTACAAACACGGTTTGGCCAAAGGAAACTACTTTAGATATTGCAGAAAACCGCCTGGGCAGCTCAATAATGGTGCTATTGTGGATTAGCTTTAACCGGGAAGCGCCTCCAAGAACTCGATGCAAGGGGGGACATTCTGTGCATCCACTGAATTGTCCAGCGAAAAGTTCTGAAAGTTCCTTGTTAGCCCACAGAGAAGACTGTAGCAAGGACTCTTATGCATTAAACTGAGCAGTGTGCTCAATCGATGCCAGTGGCGTTCTTCAGTCGGTGCTTGGTTGAAATTGATGTTGCAAGGAGTGGCAGAGCCTCAAAACACCCTTATTGCACTGGCTTATTGGAGGCCTCGGTTCTTTCTTCACTATTTGGTAATTCGGCACTCTTACCACCGGCGGCACCCACTTCATCTCCCTGCAGAAGCGCGTTCATATCATCAAGTCCTTTCTGGGCTGCACTGCACAATACTTGAGGCCAATGGTGGCTGTCTTATAGAGACTAGCACTTCATTTACTATGTCGCCGCACCTCATGTTCACTACGCAAAGCGTGAGAACTCGTCAGCGGTGACTGTACTGGGACCCCGCTGCGGGGAGTCGAGTCCGCAACTACAAGCAGCTCCACAGGAAACGGCAAAAGTTGCAGGCGAAAAATCTATGCAACACGGAACAATTCTTCTGGTTTATCATAACGGACAGTTTCTGTGACTGCGGCTGCATTCAACATCCCAGTACACGTAAGCCACCTACTAAATGCAGTAAGCGCAAAGGCACCAGATATACACCTAACCTCCGTTAAAATGCATGTAAAAACAAAACGCTTTGATATGGGCAATGGGGAGCTAATGAGATGCGTAGAGCTGATTCCTTCGGCTTAAACGTGCCGACCCGTTACGCAGGTCTCAGCCAGCCCCAAACCTTGCTCGTGTGCCTTACTAGCCTCGGGTACGGACCGGAGCCGACAAACTACGGGTAAATAGCTATATTAGGCTCAAAGTACAATTGATAGCTCAATACCTGACTCTTCTGTTTCAGCTCTTCGCCTTGTTGTAGCGCCGCGCGCTACACCAGCTCCAGACACGCAGGCGGCAGTACCTGAAGTTGTGTTGCACTGGTGGGACATAAAGTTCCACTCGCTGCTTTCATATTACTTCTGTATTTCGCTGGAACTCGACACCAGATACTGATCGCCAGCAGAACACGGAACTCCATTCCAGCGTGAGTTGCTGCAGCTGTGGACTCGTGCTCGTCACTGTGACATCGTGGGGCCCGTTGTCTCTTTCCTTTTCTGAAACAATTTTCTTGCTGGGTCGACCCAATTCAGTTTTCATATTTTCCTGAGTACTGCTCCGCCAGCACCCATGCTTCTGCCCGCACATCTAAGCTTTGCGCGGCCCAGGGCGGAGATCACTCCTTCACTGCTAGCTGCAGTTGCAGCAGCCGCAGTAGCAGTAGTACACCAGCGGCAGCGGCATCTGCATCAGCATGATCTTTCACATAGAGAGGGGGGAACGCGGGAAATAAGGCCGCGCTCGGCGCAGCAGCGCCGTTTCGGTTTGGGATGCTTAGAAGGACCTATAAGAGGAAGGATTAGGGCAGGGCGCTTGGCAAAAAAATCAGAATTTTGTGTATCTGAGTGCCTGGAATCGCATGCGCCTCAGGTAAGGAAGCAAGCAGAAGAGCGCACAGTGGAACTCGAGCTTGGTCTGCACGGTGCGCTGGTCAACGTACACTCCCTCAGTTTCACTTAAACTTTGGCATTACTACGGGCGAGACCAGTCTTACCAGTTTACTTTTTGGGCTTTTTGATTTTGGCGAGAATGCCGCCGAAGAAGAAGTCACTGCTGAAGGTCATCATCTTGGGCGACAGCAGGTGATCAGTTTGCCCCTCGTTTATCTTAGAGCGGTAGCAGGTTGTCAGTTGTGCCACTACACCACAGTTGGTAGAGATAATGCACAAAGGACAAAGGGGGCTATGGATTCTGTAGAAAGAGTGGGTGGCTGGTGGTGCTTCTGCATTCGTGGCTGCAGCGTGGGGAAAACCTCGTTGATGAACCAGTATGTGAATAAGAAGTTTTCAAATCAGTACAAAGCTACCAGTGAGTTCCAGGACTTACAGGCCGCGCACTAGTGTACGAATATCTTCTCAGCGTTCCTTTTACGCTAATTATGACTGCATGCCGGATTTCTTTCCCTCACTAATGCTGCTGCCGCCCTTCCTTCACCATCATTCCAGTTTTTTGCCATTCTTCTTCTGGGCCACTGTTTGCGATTTCCATATCTTTAAGTTTGCTTTTTGCACGCAGTCGGAGCGGATTTTCTTACCAAAGATGTTGTCATTGATGACAAAGAAGTCACCATTCAAATTTGGGACACAGCTGGTATGGCGCTGCGTGACGTATGTTTGAGAGCCTATTTTCATCGCAGCAGAATGTTCTGCCTTCACGTATATTGTTGCACTGTGATCAGTATTGGTTTGTGAGTTTGGCGTTTTGACCGACAACTCTCCATATGTGCATACCTGCATTGGGTGCCAGCGCTTTCCTCCCCTCACTGGTGCGCCTCCAGTGTGTTCTCCAATTTTTGTCACTTTTCCATCATTTCTGCACAGAGTCTTGCGTACGGTTTGTTGGGTGTTTATTGCCGCAGGGCAGGAGCGGTTCCAGAGTTTAGGGGTGGCCTTCTACCGCGGCGCGGACTGCTGCGTTCTGGTTTTCGATGTTACGAACCCGAAGTCATTTGACAGTCTTGAATCTTGGAAGGACGAATTTCTCATACAGGTAACCACTTTGCATTTTTGCGTTGCTGTCCGCATTTATATTTATGTCCTCGCGTGCAGGTAGTCTATGTGTAGTGAGGCTTCCATTTGCGGATTTGACGTTGAGAACTGTCGCAGCTGGGAAAAGGGACATTAAATGAATATGAAACTGTAGTGGATATGCGAGCTAATAATAGATATGGAGTTAGGAATATAGAAGTAGAAATTCGTGTGCTGGTTGCTGACGTTTCAGTCTTCTCCCGCCGACCCCGACGCCTTTCCCTTTGTTGTCCTGGGAAACAAAGTGGATGAGAGTGAGCGACAGGAGTATAATTTGATTATATATGATCATCACTTTGCGGCATTCTGTCATCGCTTTTCAGCAGTAATGTCTGAGCTGTTGTTCACACTGTGATCTCCGTCACGCCGTCCCTTGTTGCTTCCACTTTAGGAATACTTATGTGCTGTGTGTGTAGGCGTTGGTGTATCTGATTGTCGTGTACGCATAGAAATTTGCAGAGATGTCCCCATATGCATGAATGCATAGGCATGCTAGTGTGCATACTAAAGCTTGTCTGAGGATTAGTGTGTACGCCAACCAAAGACAATGCATCTTCGCCGTTTGCAGAGATATATGAAGACACATATGCATGCACATATATATTCATTTGTGATAAGAGGTGAGTATTTCTTTTTAGAGGAGAAGCGTCGGGTATCTGCGGCCAAGGCTGAGGCATTTTGCGGGTCTAAAATAAGCTACTTCGAGACAAGCGCCAAGCAGGCCATCAACGTCAGCGCCGCATTTGAGGAGATAGCTAGGAAAGCCATGCAACATGAAACCAAACAGGAGCAAATGTAAGGAAACAAGCTTGACATGCTCCGCATGTTGATGTGCATTTTGGTGTAGTGCTGCTGCCACTGGTAGTGACCACCCAGCGTATTGTTAGTGGAATATAGTGTTTGACCGAAGTGTTTTTTGTGATGCAGTTACCTGCCGGAAACTCTGACCCTCAGCAACCAGGAAATCCGCCCCCAACATGTGCAGACCAGTGGTGGCTGTTGCTGAGTTGCTGGCGGAGCAGCTTATGCTGCTGCTGCTATCGAAGGCCTCACCAAGCCGTGGCCTTTGTCCCACTGTGCTGCTTCCGCTGCGACGCTCACTGCCACCTCTACCGCGTCCGCCCAAACTGTCCCGGGGCCCTTGTCCCCTTCATTCCTTTGTTTTCATTTGCGAAATTTAGACATAGTCGGCAAATCAAAGACTAACGGGGCCGTTGGTGGCGGCTCGGTGCATACGGGCTGAGCCTCGTGGTAGCTTCCAGCTCAATCGCCTCCTAGCTGGCTCGCTAGTGAACGAGTGAGCGAGTGTTTTGTGTGGGTGTTGGTGTTAGTTGGTGTTAGTGTTTGCGTTTGTATTGTTCTTCACGTCGGCAGAGGTGAGGGAGAGGGGCAATTGTATTGTGTGGCGGTTGGCACTCTAAACCCTACCGCTCCACGTGAACTCACACAGTGCAGAGAGAGGACGGCAGAATAACAGTAAAAGGAAAGGGTTGAGGACGCCTAATGGCTCCTTAGACCTTAACGTGTACCTGAAGAGTCCAGGAACAACACATAGACTGCGCACAAACTAGCAAGCTGCACCAAAAAGCTGAGCCTCCACCTATGCTTTACCTGTAAAATAACTGAGCCAAGCTCTACAGGGTCTTCTTTGCCCGTTGATTCGCGCAATCCCGCTGCCTTGGCTTCGGCTTCGCTAGTTAGCTTGTAGATGTTGTGGGAGTCTGGCTTATCCACCCGTGCATGCCACTAATTAGTTGACGGGAAATTTGGCTAGCTTATGCGCATTGTTTATTTCCGCCATTAACCCGCAGTTGGGTGAATTTCACCGCACCAACATTCAGAGCACAGGGTAGAGCCACGTTTCATTAACGCCGCTGAAGGCCGCCGCAATGCTTTGTACTGAGGAAGCATTCAGATTCCGGTTCTCTATTCCACTGCTAATTAACTGCTCACTGCGGAGGCAAATCAATAGCCGCGGCACGGCAATTGCCGTCGGTCCATAGAAGCACAGGTCTGACGGGCGGAGAACACATTGACGCAATGCAACAAGCCATGAGAGCCAATCTTCTTCCTTGTGATATGTCTCTCCCTTACCTGCTTTTTTCAAGTGGGAGGCCGTTTAGCGTTGGAACGTGGTGCTGTCTGTTGCCTCTAGGGATGAAAATAGCAAGTTCCCTTGCTTATTCCAAGGGCAGTCAGGAGCGCCTTGGATTCCTCAAGAACCGGGAGTTTAACACATCTAACCTCTTGAATACCAGAATATCTGGCTCAAGATGATGTTCCTTAAGGGGCCCTTAAGCTGCATAAGGAACGCTTCGCGCACCATCCACCAGCGTCGAAAAGGTCACTTGCGCTGCCGTACAGTGCGCTCAAGAGCGTTCTGCTGACTGCCTTTTGCGAAAGATGAGGGCAAGTAAACCCCAATGTCAAGGCGGTGGAGCTGCCGCTTCTGACCAGCTCATACATGCCCAGTTGCTCTTTGCTTGTAACCCTCGTCGTGTTCTCTTTGACTGTTTCTTTGTAACCCTTGTTGAGTTCTGTCTTGGAAATTTTTGTTTGAATATTTGCTGCTGCTACGAAGGCACTAGGGGTCGTCGCATCCAGGTTCACCCCGGCTGCTTCGTCTCCCTGCTCGCTAAAGCAGTCAACACTGGGCCAACTAATGAGCACTATGATGCAGTAAGAGATAGACTTCAGTATCTTCTGTTACTAACACGATCTCGCACAATGGTATTCTCCGCGCTCACCATTTCCCCTGCGCTAGTGTGTGAACGCCGCGCCTCCAAACAATGCAGTATTTGTGAGCGTGCCTAATGTCCTAACGGTTGCAGAGCTGAGTGAAAGTGAAGCCCGTTGGTAAAGACTAGGCGCAGCGTGGCACTAATTGCGCACGAGATGCTTGTGTGTGCTATTCTCCCGTCGAAAATGCTTGGGGCTTCTTCAAGTTTCTGGAGTCGGGCCCCGAGTAGAATGCTTAAGGCATTGTCGCAGCAAATACGCCAGATGGGCTGCCAAGAGGCCCCAAAGAAGTTCACGGGAACTCACGATAGGTCTAGAACTTTGCGCATCTGCTTGCTGACAATGACCTCGTGGAGGGGGTCAGCACGGCAGAGCGTGGAAATGCCAAGCTGAACTGATCTGGCCTTCATTTGTTATCAAATCTATAAATTAGAGTGCAGAAGTAATGGCGAGTTGCTGCAACGTGCACGGTTTGCCAAATGGTAGTGCTGAGTGGCAGTGACTCTGTTGGGCAGGTTCATGCCGCACGCCAGTATAAAGCAAGGGTGAGTTCGGGCTTTTAAGCGCTGGAGAAACAGTATTGTGAAACTGAAATTGAAAAGAGCTAGTAGTCCGCTGCAGATGCTATTTCATTGCAAGTGCTGTAGTTGTCTGATTCACAGCACCGGCACCAGCGGCCGTAGCGGCGTTTGCCGTTGTAGGTGGCTACCTTGCGTTGAGGACAATGTACGGCGGGCATCAAAATAATTGAGATTAGAACCAAATTTCCTAGCATAAAAATGATGGAAAGATGACTAATATTAAGGCAGTAGGTTGACCAGTCGCAGGCGCAGTGGTCTGGTCCACCAGCCCTGTCGATGACCTCTCGGCGCCAGCCACAGCTGCTCCGATTGCTGCTCTCTCAGTCAGTAAGGAAGCCTTCGAATTAATTTTCACTTTTACACTGTATTGTGCTAGGCTTCAAGTTTTTGTCTGTTGAAGGCTGGGGGACCGGTGAAGCATATTCCGGGCCGCCGCCGCCTCACAAGCGCTATCGAGTTGGGGTGGGGCGGCCTGCGCTGCGCCTTTGGGGCTCTTCAGGGGTAAATTTACGGCAAAAGTTAGCAATTATGCCAAGCAAGGTCTTGAACATGCTTTTGATGAGGTAACACCGCAAAAGAGGGGCGGGGACCTATGAGCTGCGCAGTGGCGGCACAGCGCAACCAGTCGCCGCGCTGCAGAGGAATGGGGCACCTGGGGGCGACTGAAGAGCTGCAGCGCGTTGTGGCACTGACGAAACTGAAGAGTTAAGGCCCCTCACAGCGGGGGTCTCGCAGCGTTATGAAGGCGCAGACACCTGGGGAGTCAATTCCGGTCACTGCCGAGCGCCAGCAGCAGCCAGAGCCTCAACAACTGCAGCAGCAGCACAAGCCGCAGCAGCAGCGCAAGCCCCAGGAGGAGCAGCAGCAGCCTCCCCTTCTGCCCCTGCAGGCTTACAGGCCTTTCCAGCGCAGAGCACCCCCAATTGGGGCTTCCCCCTTGCGGCTTCACAGGCGCAGCTCTCACCCTCGCCCAGTAGGTGTAAGCTGGAAGGAACTCGCAGACGCCCGTGCGTGTGAGTCTCAGCTGGAGGGGGCGGCTGCGGAGGTGACCAGTGGTCCATCCAGCGCAGCAGCAAGCAGCGGCTCCGTGCACAGCAAAATGCCTGTGCATGCGCGGGTAGCAGTGGCGGAGTCGCAGGGTTTCTTGCGAGCCAAAGTGGCTGCCAAGGAGCAGCTCTGTTCGCAAGTCATTGGCGAAAACCAGCAGCTCATCAGAGAGCTCGAGGAGACCAAAGCGAGGCACAGACAAACTGTAGAGCGACTTAAAGCGTAAGGCGGGGGCCAGAAACCCTAAAACGGGGTTTACAAGGGTTTAGGGTTTTTCAAAGAGCTTTCTCACGTAGCACAAGGGGCTCCCGAGGGACTCGAAGCCGGTTCGCTGGGACCTCAAAGGGCCTGAAAGAAGCTCTACTTGTTTGTGGCTGTGTTTAAATGAAGAGAAATTCAGTTAAGAAATGAATCTGCGTATATGTGACTGCACTTGGGGAGGTAGCAGCGCCACTGAGCTCAGCGGCAACTGCCATTTATTTCGTGTCTTTGGCGATCTGCTGGTGTAGCTGCTGCTGTACTGCTGCTGCAGCTACTGCTGCACTGTTGCTGCAGCTGCTGCTGGAGTGCTGCTGCAGCTGCAGCTGTATTGCCGCTGCCAATTTTGCACGGCTGCTGTTCGCTGCCGACCGCATGCTGCAGCTGCGGCTGACTGGGCACTTGTGCTGCCGCTGCTGGTGCTGCTGCTGCTCAGGGAGGCGGCTGCTGTGGTGCAGCAGCTGCTGGCAGATACTGCAGTCTACCGCGACACCCACGACAACCTCGTGCGGAAGCTTCAAATTCAAGAACGCCAAGTGGCCACAGAAGCTTTGTTGGCTCGGCAGGCGGAGCGGCGGTGGGAGGAGTCTGAGGAAAAGTTGCAAGTGCTGAAGAGGCAAGCTGTGCTGCCGCCTTCCTGCTGTTGCTGCTGCTGCTGCTACTCGCTGCCTGTTGTTTCCCTTGGCTCTCACATGAAGTGGGAAAAGTTTCGCTCGGGACCATTGAACAG